TCGACTCCTAGTCCAGCGCGGAAGAGGGCCGGGTCGGTCCAGCTGTTGAAGTGGTAGATGAAGAGTGTGATTCCGAGGGTGTAGGAGAGGAGGATTGCTGTGTCGCCGAGCCGACCGTTTGGATTGGATTGGGGAGGGCGAGTGCGGTTTGTGAGAGAGGGAGAGGGTGTGGGGAACGGGAGTGGAAGGGGGCGGAGGAGAGGCGAAAGACGGAAAGAAGAAAAGGGCGATAGGGAGGGAGGAAGGCGTCAGCATCCACATCCACCTCGGCTCCGCTCCTCCGCCCTCCACCTCTCTCTCTCACACACACACAGCGAAAGAGACGCCGCACGACTCACCCGCCTTCTTCTCCGGCCAAACCTTGAGCGCCCACCCAACCGGCGGCACGCCCATCGCGTTACAAAACGCGTGCGCAAGGAAGGGCGGGATGATCGAGCCTATTCTCACATTCCTCGTCAGCTTTGGAGAGGGAGGGAAAGGAGGGGAAGGAGACGGACCGGTTCGGAGGAAGAGGAACGAGGCGTACCACCCGAACAAGGTGGTGTACGCGAGCTGGAATACTGCGCGAAGCCGCTTTCTCCCGTCAGTTCGAGTGGGCAGAGCGAGAGGCGGGGGAGTACGCACGAGACTGCGCTATTGCGACGAGCAGAGCGCGAGAAGTCCGCCCGTGAGCGATGTACGTCTCCCTCGCGTGGTGTACATGGGCTGCGGGCGTCGCTTCCCGTCAGAGCAACTAAAAGGGTTACTAGAGTCAGAAGGCACGCACCGAGGCCGAACCACAGGGGCGAGAGGAAGATCATCCTCGAGACGGACCAGCCTTCGAGGGACGAGATGGCGAGGATGCAGCTTCGGAAGGTCAGTTCCTCCGTGAGCGGGGCCTGTCGAGCACTCACTCCCTCATCAGTTACGCCTCCAAAAGGAAAGAAGCGAGCGCCAGACGCACGACGATATAATTTCTCGCGCCCTTCCATCCGTCAAACTTGCGCTTCCAGTCTGCCCAGGTCCTCGCCCCTCGCTGGCCGGGCAACTCGCCCTCCAAGTAGGCGACATACAAGCTGCCGAGGAAGAGGGACGCTGTGAGTCCCAAGGGGTAGAGGATGAGGCGTGCGAGGTTGGCGGGCGTCGAGGGGAGTGCGAGGCCGAGTAGAGCGATGGCACGCGGGATGGCAGAGGAGTATGTTGGAAAGAGGGTCGGCTGCGAGTGTGCGAGGAGGCAGGGTATGGCTGCGCAGGAGGAGAGCGAGGCGAGGGTGACGGCGAGCAAGCGGGCTTTGATGACGGCGGGATGGTTGCGGTCTCGTGGTGGGTTGGCGGGTGCAGCGGTGGCGATGTCCTGCGGTTGTGTGGTGTCTGGAGAGGGAGCTGGGAGGTGCCGGGTGCGGGTGGAGGGGAGGAGGTAGATGGACCCGACGTAGCTGGACGAGACTGCCGCCGAGCATGCGAGCGTCGTCCACCCCGACAGCATCCTCACGACGAACCAGCGAGCGAGAGAGAGCAGCCGTCGTCGTCGTCGTCGTCGTTCGTCGACGAACAAAGGACGAGTCTACTCAGGCACACACCTCGATCACGGTGCCTGGCGCTCGTTTAGCCTCCTCTCCCTTCGTCCCAAAGTCCACCTCGCCAGCTCGCTCTCTTCCAGGTTGTATTGCTTTGGCTATTGCGAGTGATTACGACTCGGGGCTATTCAGTCACAGCACACTCGACTACCCTCCCGAGTAAGCCCACTCACCCACTCACTCTGCGCGACCTCGCACTCCTCTCTCACCCGACTGGGACTCGGCTCGCACCCATCCACTCGAGCCGGCGCACGCTCACTCGCCCAGCCAGACTCGCCACGACTCACACTGACCAGCAGCGACACCCACAGTCCCCCGATCGCACTCGTCCCGACGCGCCCCTCCTCGTCGACGAAACACAGCGGACCACGCGACCTCCCATCCCCTCCCTCTCAGCGCGACTCTTGAGCGAACCCAGTGGACGGGATGGCCTCGCGCGGAGTGTACGAGCACCGCTCGCTCGCCGCCGCACCCCTCTCCACCAACCCTCCCGGCTCCGCATCCGGCGTGCCCCCTCCTCCTCCCTCGACCTCGACGCCCTCTGCTGCCGCACAGCAACAACAGCAGGGGATGCACCCTGCGGCGATCGCAGCAGCAGCGGCGGCAGCGGCAGCAGCTGCAGCAGCACAAGCCGGGCACCCTATGAACGGCCTCATGCACCCTCCTCCTCCCGGCGGCGGTCCACCCGCTCCTGCACCTCCAGGCGCCCCTCCTCCCGCTGGAGTAGGAGTAGGAGTCGTCGCCCCTCCTCACCCCTCGGCGCAGAGGCTGAACGACTTGTTGGAGTTTGTCAAGGCCGAGTTTGAGCAGGTCGCGGGTGAGGGGAGCGTGTTGAGGGTCCAGCGGGAGGAGTACGAGGCCATGAGTGAGTGCGCGGAGACGCTTTCTGTCAGCTCGAAGCGCCGGGACGGCGTTTTGGGCGGATCGGAGGATTCTCCTCGAACTCTCGCTAACTCGCACACTCACTTGCGCCCGGCAGTCCACACGCACGCGAGCGAGCTGAACGCGATGCGCGCAATGGTCTACGACCTCGAGCGCAAATACCACGACGACAAGCGCGTGTGCGTCCCTTCCCTTACCCCTCTTCCCCTCTCCTCCCTCGCTGATGGGTTGGAGCGCGCGCAGACTGCAGGAAGAAAACTCGAGGTTGCAGGAGGAGAACTCGCATTTGCGTCACCAGCTCGATACGTCCAGGTCGTCGATCTCGTCTCAACCTGGTGCTGGGCGGGCGGCGGGAGGAGCGAGGCCGGGAAGCAGTGGGTTCCCGGTTCTTGGAGGAGGGGGAGGAGCAGAGGTGAATGGAGCGCAGGTGGCGGGGGAGCACCCGAGTAAGAGACTGAGGACGGACGAGGAGGATCGGAGGAAGAGTGAGTCCAGCGCGTGCCGCCGACTCTTCGCTTGCGAGCACGAGCTGACTTAGAGCCTGTCGCTGCGATTTCAGGCGCCTCCTCCGCGCGACCCGCCCCTCAATCCGGCTCACGACCTCCTTCAACCGGTCCCGGCGCGCCCTCCTCAACTCACCAACCCTCTCCCCTCCCTCCCTCCGCCTCCGCAGCTGCTCCCTCCCCCGCCCCTCCCGCCGCCGCCTCCAAAGACGAAAAGCCCGCGACCTCTGCACCTCCCGCAGAAGTGACCTCGTTCGATCCGGGCACGGCGCCGAAAGAGTTGAAGAAGGAAGGACCGGATTGGGTGACGATGTTTAACCCGAATGTCAAGCGGACGCTGGATGTCGGGTTGGTGCATACGTTGGTGCATGATTCGTGAGTCGCCCTCGCGCTCTTCTTGCGGAGGATGAGGCTGATGGGGTTTTCGCACGGGGATCGGGTGACAGGGTCGTCTGCTGCGTCCGCTTCTCGCCCGATGGCAAGGTCCTCGCCACGGGCTCGAACCGCAACACCACGCTGTACGACACCAAAACCGGTGCTCGAATCGCGTTCGTTCTCCCTCCTCCTTCTCCCTCCTCCTTTTCCCCAACTAATTCCTGAGTGTGCAGGCAATTGTGCGACGAAAGCGCGAACCAGAAGGCCGACAACTATATCCGCTCCGTGTCGTTCTCCCCGGATGGGAAGTTGATGGCGACTGGGTCCGAGGACAGGATCGTGAGGGTGCGTTCACGTTCGCGTCGCTCCGACTCGCCGGGTCTCGCTTTCGCCGGGTCTCGCTCTCGCCGAGTCTCGCGCTGACACGCTTCGACCGTTGGCAGGTCTGGAACCTCGCGCACAAGCGCATCTCGCAGGTCTTCTCGGGCCACACGAGCGAGATCTACTCGCTCGCGTTCTCTCCGGACGGTCGACGCCTCGTCTCTGGCTCGGGCGACAAGACTGCGCGGATGTGGGACATCGAGACTGGCTCGTGCGCGTTCACGCTCACGATCCACGACATCACGATTGCGGAGAACGGGCCAGTCGATGCGGGAGTCACGTCGGTCGCCTTCTCCCCCGACGGCAAGTACCTCGCCGCCGGCTCGTTGGACACGGTCGTGCGCATCTGGGACGCCGAGACGGGCCAGTTGCTCGACAAACTCAAGGGACACGAAGACTCGGTCTACTCGGTCGCGTTCTCGCCCGACAGCAAGTTCCTCGTCTCGGGATCGTTGGACAAGACGCTCAAGATGTTTGATATCGCGGCGTTCAAGACGGCGATCGCGGCGGCGCCGAAGGATGCGCCGGTCGGAGAAGGGGGAAAGGCGACGTTGTTGACGACGTTGCAGGGTCACAAGGTGCGTCCCTCTCTTCCTTCCCTCACTGAACTCGTGACTGACGAGCCTCGTTCGGTCAGGACTACGTCTTGTCGGTCGACGTCTCGCCCGACAGCGCGTGGATCCTCTCTGGCTCCAAGGACCGCGGGATCCAGATGTGGTCCAGCGCGACGGCCAAGAGCCAGTGGGTGCTGCAGGGCCACAAGAACTCGGGTGCGTCGGCGGAGACTTGCATCGTGTGCTCGAGTCCTAGCTGACGAACTTGGTTTGCCCGTTCTCGCACCTTGACCCGCCCTTGCTCGCCTTTCGATCGTTGCCAACCTCCAGTCATCTCGGTCGCGATCTCGCCAGTCGGTGGACTCTTCGCCACGGCTTCGGGCGACTGGTCAAGTGTAAGTCGCGGCGTTTCGCTCCCTCGCTCGGAGAGAAAGCTGACTTTCCCTCTCGCAGCGCATCTGGTCGTACAACACGCTTCCCACTGCCTAGACGACCTACAACAACAAGCGCTGGAGGCGCAACGTACGGACAATGCACGTAGTGGTGGCGCCGCTTCATTTTTCTAGAGGTGCGGACGACGTTCATCTTTTCCCAAGGGACGTCTCGCTCACTCCCGCCTCGCACAGTTCTCGTCGTCTTTCTCGTAGGGGTACAGTGCTTCTCGCTGTTTTGTCTGTGCCGTCGTACGTTCGGCATGCAAAAAAGGCTTTACCCTGCTCGTCCTCCTCATTTCCCGCCTCCCGCTCTCTTCCTCCGTCAGCAAGCAACGCTTATGAGTCGTATCAGTCACGGCCTTTCCCATCGACTGCTTCGGCGCCAGGAAGCACGCGGAAAGCAAGTTGCCGCGCATCCGCCCTTCCTTCTCGCGCACGGAAACCGAGGTCCCTGCGCCGCGAGACTGATGATGCGGAGAGCGCGCGTGAGCAGCTCCGAAAATGGGTTGTCGTCCGAGAGAGTCCCACACGGCCCCGCGTCGGTCGGGCTCACTTTGCCTCGAGGGCATGACGCAGCTGAAGAGGTTCGGCGACGACTATGGCAGCCAGTTCGGACTTGGGTGTGTCGTGCGGAGCAGCTGAGCTGCACTCGGCGCAGAAAGCTCTTCTTGTCCTCCTCCCACTCATCCCCGTGCGAGACCCCGCTTCGCTGCTCCTCGTCCTCCTCACTTCGCCTCCGCTCTCCGCCTCGTAACTCATCAGCTCATCGTCGCCAGCGATGGGACTCGTCTTCCATGTCAACGGCGCACCCATCGGCGCGCTCGCCGTACTCGTCGCCGTCTTCTCGTCGATGGGAGGGTGAGTCGCACGTCAGAGTCGAGCGAGGACGACGAGCGAGCGAAAGAAGCTGACCCTCGGCATCGTCCTCTCGTCTCGCAGATTCCTCTTCGGGTGCGTAGGCAGTCTTCTGTCGAGCAGAAACGACGATACTGACTCTCCTTCGTCGCAGATATGACACGGGTGCGGCTGCGAGATGAGCGAGACTTTTGGCGAGGAGAGGAGGACTGACGGCGCTTTCTTCACGCAAACAGGTCAGATCTCCGACTTTCTGCAGATGGTGCGGTACTTTCCTTGCTGTTGAGCCTGCCAGCCCACAAACCTGACGAAGAATGATCGCGCAGAACGACTTCAAGCGTCGCTTCGCAAGCTGTCCCGACCTTAACGCCCTCGACACATGCGAGTTCTCCAACGTCCGCTCCGGCCTCATCGTCTCCCTCCTCTCTATCGGCACTCTCTTCGGCGCACTTTTTGGCGCAGCGTGAGTCGAGGTGGTCGTCTCGGACCTGGGAAGGCTCGCCGGACTGATTCTCCTCGTCTCGCCCAGGATTGCCGACCGTCTCGGCCGTAAGAAGGCCATTGTCGTGGACAACATCGTCCTCATCATCGGCGTCGTCGTCCAGATTTCCTCCGTTTCGGCTTGGGTGCGTTCGATTTCGCTCCTCCCGATTTCGCCGAGTTCGCTGACCCTCCCGCGTCCGCAGTACCAATTCATGATCGTGCGCCGGCTCCTAAAGGATGCCGAAGGCGCGAAGCTGACGTTCCTGCGTGACAGGGCCGCATCATCGCCGGTCTCGGAGTCGGCGCTCTCTCAGCCGTCGTCCCGCTCTACCAGTCCGAGATCGCGCCGAAGGAGATTCGCGGAACGTACGTCTGCTCTCTTGATGGCTCTGATTGTGCGGACGAGTGTTCTGCTTGCTGGAAGTCGATGGGAGGGTCTCTGCACCAGAACTTCCTCGCTGACGCTTCGCAATTCCGCAGCCTCGTCTGCACATATCAGCTCATGATCACCGCTGGTATCCTCGTCGCATGTGCGTCGATTCGAGAGTGTGCTGTTAATATGAGGAGACGCTGATGATCGTTCGCCTCCGGTTTCGCAGACTGCATCTCCGTGAGCATTAAGGCTTCCTTCCTCCCGCTTTGAGTACGCTTGCTCACTCTCGCCTTGCCCAGATCGGTACTCGTCACATCGAGCAGAACGGCGCCGAATGGCGCATCCCGAACGGCTTGACCATGTTCTTCTCCCTCTTCCTCATGATCGGCATCCTCTTCGCGCCCGAGTCTCCCCGCTGGCTCTTCGGCGAAGGCCGCTACGACGACGCCGAGCGCTCGCTCGCCCGTATCCGTGGAGTCAAGGTTGAGGACAACGACTACAGCGTTCGACAGACGTACGAGGAAATGAAGTTGGCAGTCGAGCACGAGGCGCGCATGGATAAGTTCCGCTGGATCGACTGCTTCCGCCCGCGCGACAAGATGCTGTACCGCACCGTTATGCTTGCGGTTCTCCAAGGTGCGCACTCGACGACTTTGACGGATGTCGCCTCGAGCAGTCGTGCTCATTTAACCTTCTGTCACCCTTCGCAGCCGGACAGCAGTTGACAGGCGCCAACTACTTCTTCTGTGCGTCACTCTCCGCATGCGAGCTTTGGGAGAGGCGGATCGCTCACCTCGAACCTTGCGCAGACTACGGCACAACGGTCTTCCAGTCCGTTGGCAACGTCGACCCGTTCGTCTCGCAAATCATCCTCGGCGCCGTCAATTTTGGCTGCACTTTCCTCGGTCTGTACATTATGGAGCGCTTCGGTCGTCGCTGGCCGCTCATCATCGTCCGTCTGGACTTCTCCTTCCGCTTTTCTCCTCTTACAGAGCGCTAATCAACTCTTCCACGTGCAGGGCGGTCTCTGGCAAAGTGCCTGGCTCTTCGTGTACGCCGCGGCAGGAACCGCGAAGGACCCGACAGAGAACAAGAGCATCGGCACTCGTGCGGCTTTCTCTCCCTTTTGTCCCTCCCGGCCCCAGTCTGACGAATCCCTACACAGTCCTCATCGTCTCTTCATGCCTCTTCATCCTCGGCTATGCTTCCACGTGCGTTTTGAGCTCGCTCACGCTGCCGGGAGGCTCGAAAGCTGACGAAAACTCCTCGTTTTCCGCCCTTTTTCCTCCTCAAAGGTGGGCGCCGGGTATTTGGACCCTCGTGGGTGAAACCCCGAGAAACGACGCAAGGGCGAAGACGGTGAGGAGTCTATTGCTCGTTCGGGGCGTCCTGGGGGACTCGGAATGGATTACCTTCATACCGACTCCGATCCTCGCGACCTTGCGGAGGAGACAAAATCGCTGACACACTTCCGCTCACAGGGTGCTCTCGCGACCTCGAGCAACTGGATCGTGCGTCTCGCGCTCCTCTGCCTGAACTTTGCGGGCAGCGGAACTTTCGCTGACCACCCCCTTCTCCTCCGCGCCTTGTCATCCTTCTCCCTCGTTCTCTTCCGGGCTCGCCAACGCAGTGGAACTTGTGAGTAGCGCCTTTCTGCGACAGTGCGCGAACGCACTCTCTCCAGGCCGGGATTGTCCCTCGCTTGAGGCCGTCGCGCATCGGAGCCTTCGCAACTTCACACCGCTTCGTGCAGGGCTGACGACACTTTGTCTCTCTCGCAGCCTCATCGCCTTCTTCACTCCCTTCATCACGGGCTCCATCGGCTTCTCCTACGGCTGTGCGTTCCTTCCGTTTCGCTTCCCCACCCTCTTTTCCTCTGTTTGCGCCCCATTCTTGGTTTCCACGCCGCTGACCTTGCTCTTGGCGCTCTTGACTTCACAGTCGTCTTCGCGGGCTGCAACCTTTTCAACGCCCTCTTCGCCTACTTCTTCCTCTACGAATCGGCCGGTCTCTCCCTTGAGAGCGTACGTTCAGCTTTACAAGCCACGCGCGCTCCCCTGGCTGACCTCTCCCTACCCTCGTCCAGGTCGACCGCATGTACAATGACCCGAACATCAAGCCCTGGAACAGCCACAAGTGGGTGCCGCCCGTAAGTCGACGTTCTCCTCCTCCTCCCCAGGCCCACTTCTCGTTCTCCGCTCACCGCATCCTCTCGCTCAATCACAGGGCGCGGAGTCCCGCCACGACTACATCCAGGGCCTGCAAGCGGAACGCAAGACCGGCGGCGAGAAGCCAGTCCACCGCGAGCTCGCGGACGATGGCTCGAGCCACGACGGCACGGTCGTCGGATCCGAGAACCCCGCCAAGCTCGGCAAGCACGGTCGTAAGCCGGCGGTGCACTAGGCGATGCCGTTCTGCGACGGCTCTCGTCGTAGACTGCTCGCAACCTTCCCCTCCTCCGCTGTTCATAGCATCCTCGCAGTAGTCTCCCTCCCCTAGTCTAACTTACTCGTTAGAGCGCATCATCTATATACTAGATCGTCGTTACCTTTGCGGCTTCTGCAAGAGTGAGGAACGTCGTCGAGAGGGGGAAGCACTTTGCTCAGTTCGTTTCGTCCTCTCGCTCCGTCCTCCTCAGCCTCTGCTCGCCCGCTAGCTCACCAGATTCGCTCTCGCCATGTGCTTCGATCCGGAGCACCCGTCTGCGTCGCCAGCCTCTTCGATTGCTCCCTCGCTCTCCTCGAGTCAGTATCACGATCTCGTCGAGTCCGCTTGCGACGCCCGTGACTCGCCCGCTGACGAAGCGCTGACGAGTCGCCTGCGAAGGAGATGTCCTGCTTGCGACGCCGTTGCTTCTTGCTCTCGTTCTCACCACTTCTCTCCGCCTGCCCATCCTGCTCGCTTCGAAGCTCTCCACCACGCTCAACCACTTCCAGAAGACCACCATGTCCAGCGACGCTGCTTCGACGTACTCGTTCTCCTCGACCGCACCTCTCACAGGTTCCGGCTCGTCTCCCAAGGTGCGATCTTTTTCCTTTTCTCCCTCACCTTCCTCGCTCACCCCAGTCCTTCGCGCAGAGCCCCTCCCTCCTCTCCAAGCTCCTCCGCCGCTCTCCGTCGCCGAAGGCACCCCGCCCCGCTTCGCCGCCCAAGACACCGGAGGAGACCTTCCGCGAGATCATGGCTTTGAACGCTTCGCACGGTGATCCGTCGGTCCAGGTGCGTCTCTTCCTCCTCCTCCTCCTCTTCTTCGCTAGTTGAATTGCTCAGCTGACGTTGCCTGAGTGGGCAGGCCTATCACCTCAAGACTAGCCCGAGACCCAAGGCGCCGAAAGCGCCCAAGTCCGCCTCGCCTTCGCCCACTCGCTCCTCCTCCTCCTCCTCGCCCGCGACCGCATCGAAGCGCGACGCCTTCGCCGAGATCATGGCACTGAACGCCAAGCATGGCGACCCGAGCGTCCAGGTGCGTTGCGCCTCCTCCTCCGCATATACTTCCTCGGAAGCACAGAGGCTGACTTGCGCCGCACGCGCAGGCTTATTTCGTCCGATGAGCACTCGCCTAGTGCTCTTCTAGCCTGAATAATTAATCACCGGTACACACAACGAACGGCTCAACGTCCTGGACGACCCAACTGCGTCTCGCAATCCGCCGACCCGCAACTTTCGACCGACTCGACTCGACTCGGCTGGCTCGACACGGACAGACAATGCGATGAGCGCGTTGGATGACAGGATACGTGGAGCAGAGGGCGTAGCTCCGGATACACGGAGGAAAGATGGAGGAGACAGCGGACCTCCTGTAGACTTGCTGTTTGACTGCTATACCTCATGCGTGACATCCTCTATGTGCCCGTGGCTCGCCGCATGCAATATCGCAGTATTCGGACACGCTTGAGAAACTACGAAGGCTCCGCGCCAGGATGCGAAGGTCGAAGCTGGCTTGCTCGTTTCAAGCATCCAGCTCCTCGTCTAGTCTCTGCCCCTACACCGCAAGGTGCTTCAGCTCCTCCTCGTCCTTGCACCACCGCAAGCGAGGCGCGCAACGCGATGCCACCAGCGAGACTCGCGATGTACCAAACCACGACCTCCCGGGTGCTTGCGGTGCTTTCCAACACGTCCGTGGCCGGCGGAAACGTGTCCGCGATGCTTGCGGGTCTTGGACAGGCGGGTGGGCACTGTTTAGAGCGGGAGGAACAAGGTGATTAGCGCGGAAGACGGCGAAGTCGAGGAGGTCAGGAGGTGGGCTGCTGCTGCTGGAGACGGAGCGGTCGGACGGGGTTCACGCGAATTGGCATGGGTCGTAGAGAGTGTGAAGGGGTGGTCTGGCAGTACTGGCTGGTCTGCTCGAGGCGTTGCGGCTGGGCGGAACACGAGCGAGCGAGTTGAAACGTCCTCCTCGCTCGAGCGGCTGCGAACGAGGGGCTTGACGATACGGGCGAATAGTCGAGAGGGATGTCCGAAGCCACGAGGAGACCGTCAAGTGGGGACGGGAGAGAACGCACCGGCAGCGAGATGTTCAGGGCGCCAGGTCCACCCCTTCCGTCACCGCTCCGTCAATCTGACTCCTGCGTGACGAATCGCAGTAAGACGAAACCCGTCGAAGGACGAGACTCAGTCGAGCAGGGAAGCGAACGAGCACCATAGCGACGAAGGATAAGCGGAAAGACGAAGCGTGACCTCCTGGCGCTGCAACCCGAAGACACTCCTCAAAGCGCCTCCCGCCCTGCACAGCAGCGAGAGCGACCTCCAACACCGAGGCAGGTCCAAGCCGTCCATCCCACCCTCCACACTTCCCCGTCTCATCACCGCAACCTCTTTGCCCACAGGGAGCAGAAGGCAGACCCATCTCCTCGCGTTCAAGCAGCCACACGCATCGGATCAGAAAACAACTCCCGCAGTTCCATCCGCCCCTACGTTCATGCAACGATCGAGACGACACCACCGTTGGCCTTGATCTTCTCCTCTGCGCGGCGAGAGACGTAGCGGGCCTTGACGATGACGGGGAACGAGGGGAGGCGGCCCTTGGCGAGGACCTTGCCGTAGCCCTGTTCAAGCGAGAATGAGTGTCAGCGAGGCGAGTAAGAGAGGAGAGGAGAGGATGAGAGAGACGAGAGACGCACGGCGGCGAGGGTGTCGACGACGGGGACGGTGGTCGACTCAGCGTTGAGGCCCTCACGCTGCTCCTGGGGGATCAGGGTGACGAGCTTGTCGACGTTGATGACGGGGCGCCAGAGAGCCGCCTTGTTGAGGTGGAAGTGGCGCATGCCGACCTTTCCAAAGTAGCCAGGGTGGTACTTGTCAAAGTTGGTGCGGTGGTGGTGCTGTCCACCGGCCTGTTTTGCGCAGCGAGCGAGAGCACTGGGTCAGTGACGCCGTCTCGAGAGCGATTCCCCTGCTACCACCGCCTCGCTCTCGCGCTCAACACCTCGCCCGTCGCTCGCTCCGCCTCCCGCCAGTCCACCTGATTCTCCTTGACCCTCCCGAGCCGCAAGCGAGGCGCGCGACGCGATGCCACCAGCAAGACTCGCGACGTACCAAACCACGACCTCCCGGGTGCTTGCGGTGCTTTCCAACACGTCCGTGGCCGGCGGAAACGTGTCCGCGATGCTTGCGGGTCTTGGACAGGCGGGTGGGCACTGTTTAGAACGGGAGGAACAAGGTGGGTTAGCGCGGGAGACGGCGAAGTCGAGGAGGTCCAGGAGGGGCTGCTGCTGCTGGAGACGGGGCGGTCGGGCGGGGTCCGCGCGGGTCGGCAGACGTCGTGAAAAGTATGGTGGGGCGTCTGGATGTACTGGCTGGTCTGCGCGAGGCGTTGTGGGCGAGTGCGAAGTGGTGTTCGTCTTTTTAGACGAGGGGGTGCGCGAGGCGACGTCGCGGGCTGGGCGTTGGACTGGGGCGTGTGTGTGGGCCGTGTGGTGCAGCAGCAGCCCTGTGAGTGACTGTGTAGCTCACTGGTTGGGAGCAAGCAAGGTGACCGGCGAGTCCAGCGAGCAACGAGGCGAGCGCGCGAGTCGACCCAGGCTCAGCCCGCGAGTTTGTATTCAGCTCATTACAACCGAGTTTGTATTCTTCAACCATTACAACCAACTCCCCTCTCTCTCTCACTCTCACCCTGCTAGACTCGCTGTGCTGCTCAATCCCGACACCAGCAACCTCATCTGGATTTACACCCGCGCCGCACCCCTCGCGCGCTCGTCTCGTCGACTGCTCCCCCTCGCTCGACCTCCCACCTCGATACCCTCGCACACCTCACCCGCCTCGCTGGTAGCACGCAAAGACACGCGTGCACTCGCACACCCGCCTAAGCTTTTGTTCCGGCCTTGCGCCCTTCCTCCCAGGTGCGCACCTCGTCCTCCATCTCCTCCTCCTCACCCACGACACGACTTTAGGAGGTCACGATGAAACCCACTGTATATCAATCAATCAATCTGTCAATCCCCCGACTACCCGGCCGGGCTCCTCCGGGAGCTTGTGCGCCGCGAGGGTGACGAGAAAAACATGTGCTATTAGCTGAACCCCCCTCCTCGATTCGACTCGCCTCGAGCAACTCCGAGCGTGCATGGACGTTGCGCTAACCCGTCTTTTGCATCGCACGAAGCAGAGTCAGCAGTTGAACCGGACCCGCCCGCGACGGATTGAGGCAGGATGAACGCGCCTTCGCGGTATGAGATGTTTGTTCTGAACGACGGGGAGGCAAAGTGAGCTTTTCCTCTTCGTCCGTACTCGATCTCTTGACTCCTGCAATCCAGCTGCGCCGTTTCTTTTCGATCGCGTCTCGAAGAACGACCGCTGAACTTGCTTCCCCTTCTCTTGCCCTCTCTCGCCTCGCTCTCCCCCTCGGTCTCTGCTTCTCCCGTACTCCGCCTCTCAGGGTCGAGGTAGTGGAGGACACCAAGATACCGAATGCGGCGACGCTGACAATCAACAAGGAGGATCACACACTCGCCAACATGCTGCGGTCGTGCGTTTCCATCTCTCGCTCAGCAGTGACTTGCTGAGTTGTACTGACGTCGTCCACCTCTTTCTCTCTCTCTTCTCGTCCGCACCTCATTGCCAACTCGAATCGGCCCGTACTATCCTCGAACCTCCTTTCCTTCGCGCCGAAAACACCCTCCGCCACCCGTCCAACAGCCAACTCCTCCTCTTCCCCTACGTCCAATTCGCCGGCTACAAAGTCCCACACCCTCTCGAGCCTCGCGTAGTCCTCAAAGTGCAAACCGACGGCTCGCGGACGCCCCTCGTCGCCGTGCAAGAAGCGATCAACACGCTGTTGATCTTGTTGGGGAGGGTCAGGACGCAGTTTCAGCAGGAGGCTGTCAGGGCAAGGGCGTTGGAGGGGACGGAGGACCAGTTTGCGGGTGCTGGGGAGGGGTTCTTCTGAGCGAGGAGGGGTGCGAAAGGTTTCCCCTTGTCTTTGGCTGTTTTTCCCTCGTCCGTATCCGACTCATTCAAGCGTTGTTGTAACACTCGCATTCGTCTGCATCGCGCTTCACTCGAGAGATGGGAGAGGCCAAGTTGTTCCGCCCGCGTTCGCCGACATCGCCAACTCGCTTGTCCTCACTCTCACACACGCTCACCGGCTTTCAACTACTGCTAGAGCAGGCTAGAACTGCTCGGACAGCCAGCTACTGCCACCCACCCACTTCCCACCGCTCTCCACCTCCTCCCTACTCTCATCGCCCAGACCCCCACTCCCTCACGCCCACACTGCTCATCCCACCCCTCGAGCACACAAATGGACCCTCCGAACCCCTCACACGACTCGACCTTCTTCACCCCCAACCACTCGCTCTCGCTTCCGGATCACACACCCGAAGCAGACCCGCATCGGATGGCGTTCCATCAGCATGAGTTGGGGGTGGGGACGAGTGCGAGTGCGGGCGAGAATGCGTTTGGGGAGTATGCGGCGGGCGTGAGTGGCGCGCAGGAGGAGGAGGAGGAGGAGGAGGTGGGACGGGGTTGGTTCGCTGCGAGGACTCCGCGGGCTCATCCGCTTGGGCAGGCGCAGGAGACTTCGATCTCGCATGAAGGACAGAACGGAGACTACGGAAATGGATTGCACGGCGCGCAGAACGGAGAGGGAGAGGGAGCGAACGGCGAGGAGGTAGAGGACGACGAGGAAGAAGACGGAGGAGCGTACCTCGACGACGAGGCGGATGGGGAGTACGAGCCTCAAGGGGAGTCGAATGGCGGCGGCGGTGGCGGCGGGACGAAGCGGAGCGCGAAGGGGAAGGGAAAGGCGCCTGCGAAGAGGGCGAGAAGGGCGAGTGCGAAGGGTTCGGCGGCGGCGAATGGCCATGGACGGAACGGCGGCGATCCAGGCGTGCAGGGGTACGAGTACGACGCTGCGACTGCCGGCTCATACGACGCCTCGACGTCTGCGACGCCCTATGATCCCTCCTCCTCTCACGCTTCGGCCTCCGGCTCGAACGGCGCCGGCGCAGGTGCAGGTGCGGTGCTGGAAGAAGCGGCGGCGCAGGACGAGGCCGAACCGCTGTACGTCAACGCGAAGCAGTATCATCGTATCTTGAAGCGGAGGATGGCGAGGGCTCGTTTGGAGGAGATGGGCAGGCTGAGCAGGGAGAGAAAGGTGCATTCCGGTCGTTCTCCTTTGTTTCGAGACAACAGACTGACTAGATGCTTCCCTCGCATCTCCTCCGCCTGTTCAATCTGCCATTCCTCGACCCCGCCACCCTTCGCATTCTTCTCAACTCCGCCACCCCGTCCTTCTCTCCCCGCTCCGCAGCCCTACCTCCACGAATCCCGCCACAAGCACGCCATGCGCCGGCCACGCGGTCCAGGCGGCCGCTTCCTGACGCTCGAAGAGCGCGCGATTCTCGAGGCGGGAGGGAGCGTTCCCGGAGTAGAGTGGCCGCCGAAACCTTTGCCTGGTGATGAGGCTGATGAGGCGGAGGGTGAGGATGCTGGGTAGAGTTGGAGGGATGAGCGGGAGGATGGGAGAAGGCGGGAGGAGCGCTTGGAGATTCGCAACGCATCGTTACACGACTTCTCGCGCTGGGCCAGTCCTACGAGACGCGAGGGAACGATTGCGAAATTTAGCAGGAGTGCAGTACGGAGTCGACCGTGGAAAGGGAAGGACGAAAGGCGGTACAGCGGAGAACGACTTTGCGAGGGATTGAGGGAGAGAGGAGTGGGCTACGACTCGTCTTCCGGCGGGATCTCGACGAGCAAGCGAGAGCTGAGCACTCGGCGACACAGTCAGCGGACGGACTACGACGAATCGCCCTGGAAGCAACTGACACTGGACCGTCTCCGACGGGCTGCGGGAAATTGTCCGGGTGGGTTCCAGCCGCGATGCCGTAGTTGTATAGCGAGAAGCGGGGCACGCAATCGTCGTCCACCGACGCCCAGAACTGGGTTCTTCCGTCGAGGTACTCGTCGCTGTACTTGACGTGCCGGAGGAAGTCCAAGTCGTCCCGCTTGGTCAAAACGAGTTCCTCCTCGGCCGGAATGTCGAATTTCTTCCGCAGATACCGCTCTTGGTACTTGCTGAGCGGAATCTCTGTGTCCCAGTGCTTGACGATGGCCTCGAAGACCTGGCGAACCGTCACGCCGTCCGGGTTCTCGATGAGCGGCAAGACTTCCGACACGAGCTCGACCCTGACCTTGCGCGAGGCCGGCTCGGTCGCAAAGTCGTCCAAGTCGTCAAAGTCCCACGCGTTACCGTGGTCCGGTTCGTCAAACTGCTCTTCTCCTTCTTCTCCTTCGTCCTCCTCCCCCCCGCGACCGAACCCTTGCGGCGCCTCGTCCGCCGTAATGTGCGTGAAGTAGGTCGAGTAGAACAGGGGGTGGAACTTGACTTGGGTGTTGGGAGCAAGTCTGTCGCTCGTAGGCGGTTCGTGCCAGGGCAGGACAGCGGGATCACGAGGATGGCGCTTCTCTTCCGTCGACTTGGGGTCTTCGGCAGCGAGGATGGCCGTGGTGCTGAGTGGGTGCGCAACGACGAGGCGCTGGGCGGCCACGCGGAGGGGCAGGTGCCGCACGGGAGGACAGAGGGAGGTGCGGGTCCGCAATGCGGCAGAAGCGAGGCGGGCGACACGAGTGGGAGCGAACGTCGAGCGTAACATCCTCCAATGAAGTGTTCGAGCAAAGAGGAAGGGATGCAGCGAAAAGCGGCTCGTCAAGCGAGGAGGAGGTTCGAGTGCGGGCCGAACAAAGGGCTTGAGCGTCTCACCATCCTCCTGCGCCAGCGAAGGGTTGCTGAGCGCTACGTAGAGTCAGCCTGCGCATCAAGCGAGTCCAAGCGAGTCACTCCCGTGCAACTCTCGCGACTTTAGGAAGGCCAAGCAGAACATCCTCGATTTCCCTGCCCCTCAGACGGCATACACGAGATACAACACCCACGCCGTGACGATCATCGCACCGACCACACCCAGCGCCGCAACCGTCACCGCCTTGATCGGCTTGCGCAGGCCGCTCAACCTCTCCTCCTCACTCATCTCCTCCTCCAACCTCCTCAGCTGCTTGTCATTCGATCTGAGGACACCATGGAGGTAGCGCTTGTCGAAGAGGTTGTAGGACAAACCGAGGAGGACGTCGAAGGCTTTGATGGCGATCAGGAAGGCGAAAACGGTGTTGTATTCGGTTCGCCCGGGCTTGGTACGGTCTTGGATTGCGCCAGCTGCGACGGTGACAATGACTGAGCCGCAGCTATTGAGCTGTGTGTGCGACAGGGAGAGGTCAGCTGCAAGGCTTGGGAGGAGCGGGACACGGCGAGACGCACGCTCTTGTACACCCCAAACGCGGTCCCCAACCTCGCCTGATCCGGCACCAGCAACGGAATCGACGCAATCCACGGCAAGACATTCGTCGCGAGCGCAAGCGAGCCGAGGATCGACGGGACGAGCGGCTGGACGGTGGTGTAGGCGAGGAGGGCGAAGACGAGGACGTAGAGTGAGGCGGTCCAGGTCACCCAGTGCATGCGGCGGCCGAAACGGTCAAAGATCATGCCGAGGCAGGGGGTGAGGACGATGGGAATGACTGTGTGGCGGAAGTGTGAGTTTGCGAAGGCGTGCAATGCAGACGACGGGGCTCACTCTGGCCAATGGCGGAAGTGTATCCTGCTGCAGCCTTCGACTTGTTCCGAGTAGTCGAGATCGCGTCGGCCAAGTTGGACGTATAGGCGTTGACCGCTCCGGCTGTCGAAGCTTCTGGTCAGCCGCCTTCTCCCGCTCAAAAGAAGAGAGGGAAGCCCGCGACGTACCCTGGAGGAGCTGCGAGACGTCCATGATCCAGAAACACGCGGGCAGCGCCATGAGCGACATGACGAAATACTTCCTCTCCTCCTTCCACCGTCTGCCGAACGAAGCCGGCGCCTGTCCAGGTGCGAGTTGTTTAGCGGCGAAGACGGCGGCTTGGCGGCCTGTTGGTACGCGTGCGCAGGCGGGGAAGGTGCGTTCGTAGAGAGCGAGAGAGACGGTGAGGAGGAAGGTGAAGGCGCAGAGGATGGCGGAGACCTGTCCGTCCCATCCGCTCGCCTCGTCAGCGCAGTCGGGTGAAATGTAGCCAGACTGAGCGCACCCAAAATGTCCAGGCGTAGGAGCCGGTGCCCTCCATGATGGGCACAGCGCTCAACTTGCCCGCCAAGTTATACACCCTCCCAATCCCGATATCAAGCCCATACACAAACCCCATGATGCCCCCGCCGAGGCAATAGAACGAGTACAATTTGCTCTGAGAGGTCTCGATGGTTGAGGAACCGAGACCGGTGATGATGTTTGCGACGAGGAAGAGAGGGTAGGAGCGGGTGCTTGCGGCGACGCCGGCGAGGATCGTGCCGAGGAGGATGACGATTGAGGAGTAGAGTGCGCCGGCGATGGGCTGCAAGAGCACGTCAGGGAAAATCCGTCGAAAGAGCAAAAGAAGGAGGCGCACTCCGAAGTAGTCGATGGCTATACCGCTCAAGATGGGCAAGACCGTGTTGATGAGCGAGTCGGCCGTGTCGAGCTGTTGCTCACAAGCGTCAGCACGAGCTTGGCAAGACGCACGATGCGACGCACGTTGGCATACTGGGCGTTGTCGACCCCGAGCTCCCTCTTCAGAGTTGACTTGAGCGGACTAATCGACGAGCTTGCAAAGTTTGACCCGACTGTACTCCTCAACTCTATCAGCTCACGCACTCTCACGAACTGAAGGCGGACTCACGGGTGAGGAACAAGACGAGCAACAAAGTTGGTCCTTTGATCCGCCATGGATGGCCCGTCACAGCTGGGTTGTATTCGCCCGGTGCGAGAGACGTTTCAGGCGAGTCGTCGAGCTTCTTCTCGTCTTTGTCGAAGAGCTCAGAGGAAGATGGAGTCGGGGCAGGAGATGGGGTCGTCGGAGGAAGCGAGGGAAGAGTCGAGGTGAGCTCCTTGGCTGGTTGAGCGGATGGAGGCGACATGGCGAGTCTCGTAAGCGCAGAGAAGCAGTCCGATCTAGCCTAAACCGAGCCTTGTCTAGCGGGTTAAGCGCAACATCCGCGAGAGGAGGACGAGGAGGAAGCGAGAGATGCGGCGCCATCAGATAGCGGGCTCGTTCGGCGATGGAGTCCGTGCTGCGCCGAACCTCTTGGCAGCGATCGAACAAGCTGGGCACCGAGGAGGAAAAGCGAGCGTGCGGGGTCCAAGAGGGGGCGGAGGGGTGTTGTCCGGCGACGACGAAGAGGCGGGCGGCGAGCACGATTGCGAGACGGAGCAGCGGGTGACTACGTTCGGTGACGGGCAGCGCCTTCAGCTGAGTCAGGTGGTGTGAAGCGCGGAGGAAGAGGAAGCAACTCTCCTCGTACGAACGTCCGCGACCATGGCAGCTGCTGCGAACGTTGCGATTGCTGCTCAACACCCTCGAGGCGACGTGCAAGCTCGGAGAAGCGAGGCGCAGAGCCACCGATGCGGGACGAAAGGGAAAGTATGCGAGATGCGAGAGCCAAACACCAAAGCTAAGCGGACCCCCTCCTAACACTCTCGAGTGCTACTCCTCCTCCTCATCCAGGATCTCCTCGATCCTCGCTCCCCCCTCCTCAGGCGCCGCACCCTCCGTCGACTCCTCGACCAACTCCTCGGCGTCCGCGTTCAGCCCCTTCACGCGACGTTTCTTCTTGTGACCTTTTTCGGGCGAAGTAGGTGAGGAGGAGGATTTCTTGGAGCGAGACTTTTTGGGCGGGGGGACGTCCCAGCTCCAGGCGGGGATGAAGGAGTCGACCTGCGCCCGAGAGGGAGCGTCAGCGAGTCGTCCGAGATTGCGAGAGAGGGAGAACAGGCGGGGGACGCACGAATCCGACGTCTGCGAACAAGTTGGGGAAGATCCAGATCCCGGGTCGGGCGACGACCTTTGTGACGAGCCACACGACGAGTCGGACGATGGCGAGACCAAAGAAGGCCGCGATGAGTCCGAGGACAGCGACGGAGAGGTACCACACCCCGATGCGCATCTTGACGGGCCAGAGGGGGAACATGACGCCCGCGAGGACGACGGCGACCATTCCCACTGCGAGGAGGAGCTGGCGGACGGGGTTGGGGTCGACGAGCCAGACGTAGTAATCTTCGGGCGCGAAGAGCTGTTGGGGGACTATTTGGACTGCCTTGACGCCTGACGAGATTGAGGGACCGCGCGCGATGCGGAGGAAGAAGGTGTGTGGGATGAGAGAGTGCAGGAGCGCGGTTGCGGATTCCGTCGAGTCGACTTTTGGGACCGAGGCGAGCTTGGCGTATTGAGGGGAGAGGAGTGCTTTGATGGCGGATTTGCCTGCGCGAGTCGACTGTGAGCGTGAGTCTCGCACGTAGATGAGGAGCGAGAGTGCGCACCCTTGAAGTAGTCGACGCGCTTTCCGCCCAATGCGCCCGTGCGGACTTTGATGCCCGACTTGTTGCGGAGGAAGTCGACGACGCGCTTCAACTCGGCTGCGGCGTGCGATGAGGGTCAGTACCGTGGAGAGATGAGGTGGAGGGGTGAGCGAGGGGACGGACGGGGTGCGTTGTTGTGGTTGTCCTTCATGTTCTGCGACGACATGGTTCCTGTGTGAGTCTAGTGAGCCCTAGCAAGCCCTCCAATAGCCCTGTAAGCGAAAGTCGAGATGAGGACGACGAGGAACGCGACGAGGAGCGGGTCAGCCAGCGACCACAGCGCCCAACTCGCTCACAGAGGGCGAAGGAGCGCACACGATGGACTGGCAGCTCTCAACTTACATCACACAGCTCAACGACGACCCCAACTTCACCCTCACCCACAACCCGCTCGACGTCTGCCAACTCGATCAACACGACCTGCACAACGCCCTCAACAGCGCGTAGAGACTCGTTCAGTGCGTAGAGGGACTCGCTGGACTCACCTTCTTGCACCGGCAGACCTCGTCGACACACTCACGACCGAGCCAGCCGCAGTCGCAGACCCAGACACCTTTGACCAGCTCGCGTCCTTTCTCCAGTCCGTGCCCGCGCACCTTTCTCTTCCAGTGCCGGCGAACTGACTCATTCGAATCGTGCAGACATGCGGACGCGCTGAGCGGGCAGGCGCTGAGCAAGTTGTTCGACGCGATTACTTCCAGTGCGTCCGGTTACGTTCGCTCGCAGTCTGTCGGGACTGGCTTCCTTGCAGAGCCTGCGTGCTCCTCGGGATGCCTCAAGGTCGATCAAGATTGCGCGCGACATACCAACCCATTCTCTGCCCTCGTCACACAGGTTTCTCCTCCCTCCTCGACTCCCTCCGCGCCGTCGACTCCCCAACCGACCACTCCTCCTACCGCTCGTTCAAAGACCCGCTCGAGATCTATGCGTTCTTCGTCATGTGGTGCGTGAGGGTCGGGGAGAAGATTGGAGCGAAGGCGGGTGAGGCAGAGGGCGGGAGGGGAAAGGTGAGTCCCGACGATTCGAGACGATTGCTCGTGTGTCGACTCAAAGAACTGACGCTACACATCTGTCCATCCCTCGGCGAACTCACAGAAACCCGCCGCCTCGAAGTCCAAGTCCAAAACCAAGTCCTCCGCGAAAGACGCCACCTTCTCCTGGCCGTCCCAGATCCCCGACATCCTCGGCGTGATGGTCAAAGCCCTTCGGACGATCAAGACGGAGCGGATCTGGGTGACGACGGCCGAGCGGGACGAGGTCGTTGCGTGCGTTTCCTTCCCTCTCCGACTTGCTTGCGAGGTGGAAGGTGGGAGTACTGATGGCCTGGGCGCGCAGGAGCTGCTTCCTCCGCCCTTTGAACGTCCTGTGCGAACACGAATCCTACCTCAAGCAACCCGAGATCAAAGCAGGCATCTTCCGCATCCTCTGCCTCGCAGCGAAGAACCACGGTCAGGCATTCAGTGCGTCTCCTGCCCTCTCCCTCATGGTACTCGAGCTGATGGTGGGAGAACAGACGTCCAGATGACGATCATGCAGAACCTCCAGTATACGGAACACCTTGCTGAGCCGATGGCGGAACTCGTGACGGTCTACGCGAAAGAGTTCGACTCCGAAGGGCTGGGGGAGAAAGTGCTTGGGTCCGTCTCCTCCCTTCTTCCTTCTCTCCCTCGAGCTGACGAGTGCGTGCGATAGGGAGATCGCCGATCGCCAGTTCTCGGCGCAAGACACGAAAGGACCTCGCTCGTTCTCGAGGTTCTTGATCCGACTTGCGGAGACAAGTCCGAGGACGGTGTTGAAGCAGATTGTGTTGCTTCAGAAGCATCTGGACTCGGAGGTGCGTTCACGTTGACCTGGCTTCGGTTCTTGCCTCTCGCTCGAGGGTAAAGGTGCCGATGGAGCGATCGCATCGTCGCGTGCAGTCCTACCCGATGCGCAACGCGATCCTCGAAGTTCTCGGCCTGCTCATCCGCGAGTTGGCCCTCACCGAACCGGGCGCGCTCTCGCTCGACCCAGCGAAACACACCCGCCTCCTCTCGTCCTTCTTCGACCTCCTCACCGAGCGCCTGATGGACCTCAACTCGTACGTCCGCGCCAAGACCGCCTCTGTCCTCCTCAAGACCTGCGACTTGCCCCCCTCGCGCTTCCCCGCCCAACGACTCGAGATCGCGCGACTTGCAGCAAGGAGCCTGTACGACAAAGCCTCGACCGTGCGGAAGAATTGTCTGGCCCTCCTCGTCAAGCTCGTCGTGACGCATCCGTATGGATTGCATGGAGGCGAGTTGGGCAGGGAGATGTGGGAGGAGAGGTTGGACAAGTTGGAGAACGAGTTGAAGGTGTTGGATTTGCCGGATGAGGCGGAGAGGGAGGCGAGGAGGTTGATGGAGGATGTTGCTGAGGAGGAGGAGGGTGAGGGCGAAGAGGGCGCGGTCAAGCAGGAGGAGGGCGAGGAGGCGGAAGAGGAGGACGACGACGACGAGTCGGACGCCGAGGGCACGCCGAAGAAGCGTAAACCGCTAAAGGGCAAGGGCAAGGGGCGCGCGTCCGCTCCTCGTCGCTCGGAGCTCGACCTCGCTGCCGCCGACCAATCTGCCGTGCTCTCGCAAGTCGACTCTGCGACTCTCCAGCGCCTGCGCCTCACAAAGGCCTACTACACCGACGCCCTCTCGTTCATCGAGACGCTCGAAGGCGCTCTCGAGACCGTTACTGAGCTGCTCGCATCGAGCGTGAAGGGCGAGGTCCTCGAGGCGATCGAGTTCTGCAAGACGTGCAAGGAGTACAAAGTCGAGGCTGCCGAGCAAGGAGTCCGGCGCATGCTCCACCTCATTTGGAGCAAGGACGAGGCCGGCACGGCTGGCGCTGCTGCGACGGGCGCGGCGAACCAGGGTGGAGGCGAAGGCGACGAGGACGCGGTCAAGGAGGCCAAGGGCATCAGGAGCCGCCTCATCGAGTGCTACTCGCAGCTCTACTTTGAGCCGCCGCAGGACGTCAGCGAGAAGGACCAGGTCGCGTTCGTCGCGAGGAATGTCATCGAGTGAGTCCCCTTGGCTGCGTTGTCTATGCCGAGCCCCGGCGGTTCTCCGTCGTCGGGCGAGATGCTCGTCGATCTCCTAAAGCTGACTTTCTCGCCTCGCAGGCTCACGCGCGACGCGACTCTCGCAGAGCTGACCTCGCTCGAGCAGCTTCTCGCCGTCATGATGGCCAAGGGCGTCGTCGACGACCAGGTCATCACCAAGCTCTGGCAGGTCTACAGTGCGTCCCCATCCTCCTCTTTCCTCGGATACGGGTTTATCCTTGTCGCTCGCAGGCACCTCGAAGGACATCCCCAAGTTTCAGCGTCGCGGCGCCATCATCGTGCTCGGCATGTTCGCCCAGACCAAACCCGAAGTCGTCGCCGACCACGTCGACACGCTCCTCAAGATTGGACTTGGACCGCACGGCAAGCAGGACCTCGTGCTCGCCAAGTATACATGCGTCGCGCTCGGAAGAGTCGGAGGGAGCGTCAAGAAGGTCAAGGGTGCGTCGTGGCTCGAATGCTTGATCGACTTCAAGCCGCGATACGGTGAACGGTCCTGACTTCCCCTCGCGTCGACTCGCACAGGCTCCCTCAACGACGCCCAGGTCCGCCTCCCGATGGACAGCCCAGTCTTCGCTTGCCTCGCCGAAGCGATCCAGACGCCTTCCTCGTCGAAGGAGTGGTTCAGTATGGCCGAGCAGGCCGTCAACACAATCTACAACCTCGGCGACCAGCCCGACGCGCTTTGCTCTGAGATCCTGCGGCAAATGACGGTCAGGGTGTTTGGTCCGCGCGCTCAGACGGAGGATAAGGGCAAGGCGAAGGAGCAGGTTGGCGAGGAGGTTGATGGCGATGCCGAGATGGTTGAAGATGAGGTGAGGGAGGCGGGCGAGGATGCTGCGGCCGACGCGATGGACGAGGACGACGGTGCCGCCGGGCCTCAAGACCCGTTGACCGGCAACGCTTTCGACCTTTCGCAACTTGTCTTCGTCGCCGGTCACTGTGCCATCAAGCAGCTCGTCCACCTCGAGCTCGTCGAACGCGACCTCAAGCGCCGCAAGGCCGAAGAGGACAAGGCGAAAGGCGGCAAGAAGGCGGCCGACGACGAGCTCGACCAGGTCGCCGGCTCTGTCGAAGACGAGATTGGAGACGTCATCGCCGCTGCGAAGGAGAAGGAGCTGCTCTACGGGCCCGAGAGTCTGCTCGCCGTCTTTGGCCCGATGGCGGCGACCATCGTCGCCCAGCCGAAGATCTACAAGGTGCGTACGCTGTCGTCTCTCCCTACGATTATCGCTCACTCTGCACGCGCTCGCAGAACTCGATGCTCCAGACCGCCGCGACTCTCGCCCTCAGCAAGTTCATGTGTGTCAGCTCAGAGTTCTGCGCCGCACACCTCATGCTCCTCTTCAAGGTGCTTGAGACGTCGAAGGAGCCGGCCGTTCGGAGCAACATCGTCATTGCGCTCGGCGACATCGCAGTCTGCTTCTCGACGATCATGGACGAGAACTCGGATCGCCTGTACGCCGGCCTGCACGACAAGGACCCGACCGTCAAGAAGAACACGCTCATGGTGCTCACGCACTTGATCCTCAACGGCATGATCAAGGTCAAGGGACAGCTCGGCGAAATGGCCAAGTGCCTTTCCGACGACGACAAGCGGATCAAGGACCTTGCCCACCTGTTCTTCGAGGAGCTGGCGACAAAGGACAAGGCGATTTACAACAACTTGCCCGACATCATCTCGCACCTCTCGACCGGCGCCAACCCCGTCTCCGAGGATACCTTCCAGACCTCCATGCGCTTCATCTTCAAGTTTGTCGACAAGGCACGTCGCTCCCGTTCGATTCGAGAATGTCGTTAACCACTGACACCCCTTCTTGCGCCGTCCGCAGAAGAAGGAGGCCGAGTCCGTCGTCGAGAAGCTGTGCCAGCGTTTCCAGGCAACGACCGAGCCGCGACAGTGGCGCGACATCGCCTTCTGCCTCTCTCTCCTCCCCTTCAACTCGGACCTCGCCGTCAAGAAGCTCACGGAGGGCCTGCCGTTCTACCAGGACAAGCTGCACGAGGAAACGGTCTTCAAGCGCTTCGGCGAGATCTTGGCCAAGGTGCGTCTGGATTGCTTCCCCCGCCTTGCGCTCTCTGGCTCACACTTGAAACTCCGCAGATCCGCGCGCCAACGAACAAGCTCAACAAGACCGAGTCGGATCTCAAGGAATTCGAGGACGCCCTCGAAGCTCACCGCGCCAAGGGCGCTGAGGACCAGGACTTGACGAAGAAGGTCGCGAAGAGCCGGCGACGAGGTGCGGCCGCTCCCAAGGCTGCTGCTGCTGCTCCTGCGCGACGAACGGCAAGGCGCGCCAAGGCAAGGAGCGAGACGCCGCCCAGCTCGCCCGAGCGGTGAGCATTGTTGAGCGCCTTCGAGACGCCTCGATTTCCTTCGTGTTTCTGCGGGTCTGCTCGTACGTGTGTTGTGTTATTCCACCTCTTATCGCGGTCGAAGGGTGTCAGGCGCAAGCTGGATGAGAGGAACAACGGGCTCAACTCTTGACGCCTGCTCGTACGCAAGACGATCTGCCGACATGTATCCAGTTGCTCAATTCACCACCCCTCTACAACAACAGCTGGCCCGCAAAGTCCGCCTCGACGCCCTTGAAGCCAGTCTTGCGGTCGTACACCTTCTCGCCGCGCAGATACGTGCTCTTGACGGCTCCGGTGAGCGTAAGGCCCTCTGTTGCAGCAAGAGTGAGCCGAGGAGGCGTAGACGGAGCGAGAAGCAGCGCACCGTAGGGAGAGGCGCGGTTCTTGAAGTGCAACTCCGACTTGTTGATCTGAGCGACGGAAGCAGCGTAAGTCGGGAGGTTCCGCGTTTGCATGAGAAACCAGACGCACCGTGAACGACTCCTTCGGGTCGAAGATGACAAAGTCGGCGTCGGCGCCCTCCTTGATCTCGCCCTTCCGTCCCTCAAGTCCAACCTGCTTCGCCGGCCTGCTCGCAACCCACTCGAGCACCTTCTCCATTGCAATCCCTCGCTTGCTCGCCTCGGTCCAGAGCAAGCTCAAACCGAGTCCGAGCCCGCCAATCCCGCCCCAGGCACCGAGGAAGTCGCCCGCCTCGAGCTTCTTCAGCTCCGTTGTGCAAGGCGAGTGGTCCGAGACGACAAAGTCGACATCGCCGTCTAGGAGGGCCTGCCAGAGCTTCTCGCGGTTCGCATCGTCGCGGATGGGCGGGCAGCACTTGTAGAGCGTCTCGCCCTTGGCGATTTGCTCGGCAGAGAGGCAGAGGTAGTGGAAGCAGGTTTCGACCGAGAGGGGGAGGTTAAGGTCTCGTCGTGCGTGACGGAGGGCGGGAAGGGCGGAAGAGGCAGACAGGTGGACGATGTGCGTGCGGAGAGAGGGGAACTGGCGGGCGCAGCGGATGATGAGGTCAATGGCGGATTCTTCGAGCGCGGGTGGGCGAGAGGCGAGGAAAGTAGAGTATGCGGAAGGGTCGTCGTGGTCGCTGTGCGAGTGCGATGTGTTGTCGAGTTCGGCGTGGAAGAGGAAGAGCGATTTGGCGGCCTGCGTGCGAGAGGTCAGTCACTCTGCGTCAGATCGAGGACGTTCAAACGCGGCTCACGTCAAGCTCCTCCATCGCTCGCATAACGTGCTCCTCCTTGATACCCGGAAACTCGTCCACGCCGCTCTCGCACAAGAACCCCTTGAAGCCCTTGACGCCCTCTTTCGCCAATGGCTGCAAGTCGTCGGCGTTGTCCGGCACGACTCCTCCCCAGAAGCCGACGTCGATATGCCGCTTGCCCTCGGAAGCGTTCAGCTTGATGTGCAAGTTCTCGACAGTCGTTGTGGGAGGAATCGCGTTCAGCGGCATGTCGATGACGGTCGTAACGCCTCCCGAAGCGGCAGCCTGCGAGCAAACGACTATCAGTACCCGTACGAGACTTATCTGGCGGTCTTCTGCCGTCCCGGACCCGCAACTCTTCCGGATAGCCCTCTCGAAGGACGGCGCTCGTTTGGTCCCTCCTGCCGCTCCGTAGACGAGAGAGGAGGCACGCACCGCAGTACCAGTCTCGAAGCCCTCCCACTCCGTCCTGCCCGGCTCGTTCAGGTGGACATGCGCGTCGACAAGCTGCAATCGCGGGCGGAGCGGACGAAGTGAGCGACGGTTTAGCAGCGACCACGGCGAAGGAAGGCCGCTACGCACGCCTGGAAGGATCCACTGTTCGCCAGCATCGACCCAGTCTGCCTCGTCGACCGCCTCAGCCAGCTCGTCGCGCTTGATCACTCCCTCATGGACCCGCTTCACCCGCCCAGAAGCCTTGTCCACCTCGACCGTCGCAGGGGCGCCTGACGGTGCCGCAGCAGAGAATACTCGCGAAGAGAAGAAGTAGCGTGTCGAGCCGGTCATAGCGGAGCGATGCGAGCAGACAGTCTTGAGGGAAGCGAGGGAGAGAAGAGCGGGTCTGGAAGGCGAGAGCAAGCCTCGATGGGACGGTCTCTTCGAACTTGCAGACAGCTTAGACGAAAGAGTCCAGCTGATCCAGAACCCAAGCGAACAGAGGCGAGCGAAAGGAGCAAGCATCCTTGCCGACTCACGTACTGACGCTGCTGCTCGTTCTAAGCGTCTAGCCCGTCTACAGATCACGCTCAATGAAGCTCTGCACGACGCCCTCGGGGGTAGTCGGGTACTCGACGAGCTCGACGTCGCCAGTCGAGGGATTGACGACGGTGTTGGGCTGAACAAAGACCTTGCGAGGCAGCTTCTTGGCTGTGAACGCATGCCAGTGTCAGCGAGGAGCCTGGAACAAGTCGGACATGGAAGTGGACGCACCGAGGACGAGCGGACGAAGCTTGTCCACCCATTCCGCCGACGGCGCCGTCAACTCCGTGTAGAACTTGGTCGCGCCCGGTCCGTCACCCGTACTCTTCCGAACCTGAATCTCGACCAAAAGCTGTCCCATGACCTCCTTGCCGCGCTCGAGCGCAGCCTTGCGATCGACGCGAGCGAACGCATCGACGAGGTTGCCCGAGTCGTCGTGGACAAACTCGACGCGCGCAATGTCGTGGCTGATGAGCCACTGGGCGATACCGAGACGAGCTTGCATGTGCGCCTGGCCGTGCTTCTTCGTCGTCGGGTCGTAGAACTCGAGAGCGCGTACACCAGCGCGCATCATGACGAGGAAGGTGTAGTAGACGAGGTCCTCCTGCGCCTCCTTCGTGTCGTGGCCGAAGATGGTCGCAATGTCGGCGTTCGAGGCGAGGTAGCTGCGCGCGAACAAGCGGCGAAGGCAACAAAAGAGTCAGCCTGGAGAACTTCGCCGAGATCAGTCATCCTGTACGCACAGCGCAACAGCCTCAGCCCTGCACTCCTCCATCGACGACGACACCGGTCCAACCTTGGAGCCATACGTCTCGCCCGGCATGTACCACGACTCGATCGGCTCGCCCGTGAGGGGGTTGATCGTCTTCTCGGGATCAAAGTTGCGCGATCCGTCCGCGCGCTGCTGGAACAGCTTGCCGCTGCCGTGGCCAAGCAGCTCGTGGTTGGCAACTTGCACCGAGAAGGCCTTGTCCTCCCAGGCGCGGTACTGCTCGACTTCGTCCGGGTAGATGAAGGTGCAGGGCTCGCCGGGCGCCTTGGCGGAGAGGACGTTGATGAGACTGACGTTCTTGAAGCCGAGAGACTCCCTGATGTCGTAGTCTGCGAGCGGGGCAGGTGAGAGAGAACGAGATGGGCGGGAACAAGGCGGGACGCGAAGTCGAAAGTCAGCGACTGCTGAAAAGCCGTATCAGGCCGAGAAAGAGATTCGAAGACTCGCAGTTCGGGATGTTGATGCCTGCGGGAATGCCAGAAGTCGCGAAAGAGAGGATCTCGAGTGCTGTGAAGTCGGGGCGCTTGAAGACGTCGACTACGATCGCAACTCGTCAGCTTCATTGCTGACAAGCGCGGAAGGTGCAGGACACACCCTCGTACTCCTTAGGCCAGGGAAGCGTCTTGAGGTGCTCCGCAGCGCCCTGGACCAGCGTATCGAACTTTGCGCTCTCGGCCTTGTTGACGATGGCAGTGAAGCCTTCCCACTCGGCGCGGGCGCCGAAGGGGTCGACGTAGTCTTCGATGAATCCGATGTACGCTGCGGACGGACGGGGTGAGCAAGCGGAAATCGAGTGGGCAGGGAGACGCACACTCGACGACCGGCCCGACGTCCTTAACCCACGAGCGCGACCCTTCCTTGTGCGCCTCGATGTTGCCCGTCTCAAAAGACTTGGCATAGTGCTTGAGCATTTCACGCTGGTTGTCGTTCGCCGCATACTGGCCCGCCTGAGCGAGCGCGGCGTCGACTTTCGCCAGCGCATCGGCATAGTCGCCCGCTTGAAGGCGGACTTCGAAGCCGAGCTTTTCGGACTTGAGCGACTTGGGGTAGTGCGAAGGGAGGGCTGAGATAGACGCGACGAGGAGGACGAGTTCGGTGTCGGAAACGCGGGAGAGGCGGGTGTTGGCGGTTGAGATGCCTGCTGCGTCGCACAGGGCTTGGACTTCGTCGACTTGTGCGTCGGATGGAGCGGGAGAGGAGGGGTAGTAGGCGGAGACGTGGCCGGCGGAAGGCTTGCCGATCGAGAGAGACGCTTCGGGGCTGAGAGAGTAGATCTCCTCCTTCAGCTCTTGCCAGAGAGGGAGGGCGACGTCCGACCGCTGAGACGCCTTGACGACAGCCTCGAAGGACTGCTCAGAGACGCGAGGGATGAACTTGGTCGCGCCGAAGGATCGCATGTTCGAGAGGTTCGACAGGACCTGCGAGGGGAACTATCAGCTCGCTCGGCTCCGATGAAGGCGGAAGATACCCACCTGGGCCGAGTACGCCAACAGCTCGTTCCAGTCCTCGTCGCTCACGCCACTCTTCGCCTTCAAAGCCTCGAGATCCGCCGCCTTTCCCTTCGCCGCCGAGAAAGTCGCGATAACGAGGTCACACAGACGCTCAGCGGTCGGCGTAGTCTGTCGCTGAATAATCCTGCCACCCGCCCAGCTCGCCTGGCTGATATAGTGCGCATAGAGCTTCTCCTCGCGCGTGAGGGCCTTGAACGAGTCGGCGATGCGGAGTGAGCAAACAGGTGGGTTCGAGTCGGCGAGGTAGCGGCTCTTGTCGACTTGGGTGGTCATGGCGTCGTCTGTGGGCTTGGAGATGGTCGCGTAGGCGTTCGAGTGCGTGCGAGGACCGGGTGCGATGAGAGTAGTGTGGGGAGGAGGAGCGCGAGTGCGAGGAGCGTATCCGGCGGCTGTAGCGAGTGTGCGGTAGCTCGAGTGTGTCCCGAGTCGACTGGCAGCACGCAGCATTCACAAACAGACAACCGAATGAGCGACCGGAGCACGAGGGAAGCGAGCAGACCGCGTGCAAGCAATGAGGCGGACTTGCGCGGAGCTACGACTCGACTTGTGTGCACGAGAAGGACTGCGAGATGCTTGTACTGATTGCATAATGTCATTGATATTGCCCGGCGGCGAGAGAGGCGACTGTCGTGGCGAGGGCAAAGAATCGCAGCACGGGAAGGGACGACCTCGACGACGCCTGTCTCCTCTATCCCGCGCTCTATACATCCCGCGCTCACCAGTGCGAGAACTTGAGGTCGACGCCCCAGTCAGGCTTGATGAAGCGCTTGCCCTTGGTCTTGTAGAGCTCGTTGAGAGTCCGCATGTCCTCCTCGTCGAGCTTGACAATCTTGTAGTTGTCGATGATGCGCTTCTCCGTGACCGACTTGGGGAGGACGACGACGTTGCGGTTGACCTGGTACGAGATGAGGACCGTGCCGACAGAGACGCCGTGCTTGTCCGCGATCTTCTTGATGACTTCGTCCTTGAGCAGGGGCGAGTCGGTCGATCCCAGAGGCGAGTAGGCTTCGGCGAGGATGTTCTTCTTGGCGAGGTACTGGAGGAGCTCGTGCTGGGGGAGGTAAGGGTGCAGCTCGATCTGGTTGACCGCCGGGACGACCTTGGCGGTTGTCAAGAGCTGGTCGAGGTAAGCCTCGGAGAAGCTGCGTCAAAGAAAGCGTCAGTAAGAGCCTAACTGGTGTCGGCGAGCGCAGAGCCTCGTAACGAGCCTCGGACGGACGACGGCGAAGAAAAAGCCTCGAAGCTGGCGCTAAGTGGCCGCGAAACGCAAACTCACTTGGACACGCCAATCGCCTTGACCAGTCCCTTCTCAAGGATAGCCTCCATCTGCTCCCACGTCTGGTTGATGCTCCACTCGGTGTCGCGGTCGCGCGAGCCGTCGGGGAGCTTGGGGAACTTCGGGTCGTTGCCTTGGCCGTTGAGGGGGACTGGCCAGTGGATCAGGTCTGCAAGGGGGAAACGGCGCTGTAGGTCAGCCAGGACAAAGGCGAAGCGAGCGGCACAGAACTCACAGAGGTCGAGGTAGTCGAGTCCGAGGAGCTCGAGCGACTCCTTGACGGCCGCCTCGACATTGCGGTGCTTCGTGCACCAGACTGCGATCACGAATGAGTCAGCAGGAGGCAATGTAAGCCGAGGAGAGAAGCGAGTCGTGCGCCCAAGACCCGCGACTCACGCTTCGAGGTGACAAAGATCTCTTCCCGGGGTACGCCCGACGCCTTGATCCCCTCTCCAACTTCCTTCTCGTTGCCGTAGATCCACGCGCCGTCAATGTGCCGGTACCCGTTCTGGAGAGCGATCTTGACGGCGTTGCTGACCTCGCCCGGGTTCGACTGCCAGGTACCTGTGGGACATCGGGCAGAGTGTCAGCGAATGCAAGGAGCGATGTGCGCTCGTCTGCGAGACCTGCGACGCACCGAGGCCGACAGCGGGGATCGCTTTGCCGCCGTGTGAGAGAGGGAACGAGGGGACGTCGATGTAGCTGGGCATGCTGGAAGTCGGGTGATTAGATGAGTTTAGGGAGTGTAGAGAGTGTACGTGTGCACGGGAGAGCAAAGGAGGGAGAGCGAGACGAGAGAGAGGCGCCGCAAGTGGAGGGGCTGGCGGAGGGCGCACCGACAACTCCGACACCCGCTGCTGACTAACCAAGTCGACGCTGCGATGGACGAAAAAGCCAAATGCAGCGCATGCCACAGCCCCTACAACTCGTCCTTGACCCGTTGTTCCCGCAAATCTCCCTCGCCAGACCCACTCCTTGCCTGCTGCTGCTCCTCGACAAACTCCTCCCTCTCCTTCGCCTGCTGCACAGCCTGCTCCAGCTCGTCCGCCCTGTTGCGGAACACTGACGCAGCTGTCTCGCCCCCTTCTTGACCAGCCGCGACGCGCTGGGCGAATGCGCTGACTTCGGCGTCGTATTCGAGCCACTCGGGGATCAGACGCTTGGCGCGCTGCAGCTTCGGCTCGTGCGTAAGAGGGTTGTTGCACAAGTCGATGGCTGCGCAGAGAGTCAGTTAGAAGTGCGGAAAGCGGAGGAAGACAAAGAGGAAGAGCAGGGCGAGGTTGGCGGACGCACTCTTGGCTTGAGCGAGACTCTCGTCGCTGCACCTACGAGCGCAAGCGAGAGGCAGTGTCAGTCGGAGCTGCGGCGAGAGCACAAGAAAGAGAGACGCACCAAGTCTCGCACCACAACCATTCGCGTCCGAGGGTGTACTGCAGGGCGAACAGAAGGTCAGCCGCTCCCCTCAGCACCCAAAAGAGGACTGTCGAACGCACGATAGGAATCGTCCCCTGCATATTGTTGGGCAAATCCTGATCCAGATTCGCCAGCGAGTGCGGGTCGGCAGAAAGCGCCTGGTACTGCTGTCGCAAGCGGTCGCCCGCCGCGATCTGGCGGAACCGGTCGAGGTCGACGACGTAGAGCGCCGAGATGTGGTACGGGTTGCCTTTGAGGTGGTTCTTCCAGTAGCTGTGGGCGTGCGCGTGTCAGCGGGTAATGTAAGGGAGGAGGAGGCGAGCGAAACGCACCCGGTCTTCCAGAACCGGAAGCCTTCCATCTCTGCTCGGTCGTCGCCCATCGGCGCAAAGGCGTACGGTGCGCCATGCAAGTCAAGATCGACGAGTTCCTTCAAGTCGGCACGGACGATCCTGCGTCGAAGCACACGGGTCAGCGCGGCTTTTCGTCTGGCGGGAAAGAACGGCGGACTGGTCAGAGTCAACGAAGATGACGCGGTCGAGCTCAAGCGGGAAAAGAACGTCAAGGAAGAGGATCTTGTAGCTGCGACGACGAACCGGGTCAGCGGCTCAGCGAGACTGGAAGTCGGATGGACGACGCACCCCCAGATCGTCCGCTGCTTCTCCTTCTGTGCGCGAAGCCAGTGCGGCCACTTGTACGTGACGAGCTCGTAATCGAAGCCAAACTCTGTTCTCAGCGCCCTGATCAGCAAGTCCCGGGGGCGAGCCGGTCAGAAGGGACGAACCTCGCGCCATGTGCGGGATGAAAGCCTTGAAGGACGGCGAAAGGAAGTTCTGGATGAACCAGAACTTGACCGAGCTCTTCGTGTGCCGCAAGACCGAGACGACCATGAGGAGCGCCATGCGCTGCGAGTGCGGAGTGTCAGTGAAGCCGGACTGCGAGGGGGATGCGACTGGCGATCACCTCGTACAGCAGTCCAGAGGCGACGGTGAAGACGTTGATTTCGGCTTTCTTCCCGGTCGAGACGAGCTCCTGGCCGGCCTTGGGCGCGAGGAAGGGAATCCTGGAGACCGAAGTCGGTCAGCAGAGAAGTAGGCCGTAGACTACACGGCGGCGTAACGCACATCGACTTGACTCGCTCAAAGAGGCCGGCTGCCGCAGTGCGCGCCGAGGCGACAACGTCGGCCGATTCGTCGAGCAACTCAGTCAGCTCGTGACCAGGCTTGCGAGTGAAGCGCGGGTATAGCGTAAGACCCTCGAGCGTCGAGACCACGAAGGTCGTGCCGGTCTTGTTGACGGTCCCGCTCTTCCAGCCGTCTGCGCCGATACTCTCGAGCTCGAAGACTTCGCTGCTCCGGCCGGCACGGATGCCGAGCTGCCAGGCGCCGGGACTCGCCTTGAATTGGAGATAGCCGAGGTTAGCCATGACGGTGGTGCTGTTACAGGCGGAGTTAGCTCTAGGTACAAGCGGCTGGCGAAGGCTGTACGCACTCGACTCGCTGTTGCTGCTCGGATGCGTTGTGGCCACCTCGACGGAGCTCGAGCTGCAATCCTCGAGGTGGACGACTCGACGGCATGTCTCGAGCGTGGCCCTCGACCAGCAAAGACTCGAGTTCGAGGACGGCCTCGACACCCGACGACTTCGACCAGGCTGGCAAGTCGGCCAGGCGAATATTATCGAGGTCGTGCACGCTATGCTTCGGGAAAGCGAGCCAGGACTGCTGCGCGTCGATGCCAAAGGTGAGAAGAACGTCTTCGGGAATGTCGTTGAAGCGGATCGCAGGCTGGACCTCCTGCCCAGTTGTATCGTCGAATGTGAGGGTCGAATTGAAGGTGTATTGGTAGAACCGCTTGATGGGAACCTCGGTGACGTGGAGCGAAGGATTGAGGTACAGGCGGACGTGGGTCGAGTTGAGTTGCGAGAGGGTCTCGACGATAGGCGCCCACCGTTGCGCGAGCTCAGTCGCCGGGTCGATCACGACGGCGACCTCGAAGAGTGCGCCTGTCTCGCGTGCGCCGACGATGGCGCTGTGATTCGCCGCCAGTCCGAGATAGTCGCGCCGTCTCTCGACTGGTCCGTTGCCGAAGATGCCAGCGGCGGGGTCGGGGAGGTGGGCAGCGCCGACAATCGATGTAGCAACGTTATAGATGTGCGACCGCTTGAGCCTGTAGGGAGAACGTTAGCCAGCGAGCCGGAAGGAAGTTAGCCAGCGAGCCGGAAGGAGTCTAAGGTAACACGCACCGATCAAAGTTCTTTTTCAGGACGGCTGTCAAGTCGATGGCGGAGACGACCGGCTTGATGCGCTTCTCCATCTCATAGGCGAGGAGAGTCTTGAAGTCGGCGGCACCGAAGCTCCCGGCAGGCAAAGGACCGATGACCTGGCGAAGCTCCGTCAGTTCTACTCAAGGGCACGCGGATGAAGCGGCACTCACGCGACCATTGATGACGATACCGCTCTCGCCCTCCTTGAAGCCCAACTTGTACCGGAACCACTGGACCTCGTCCCAGAACAGGTCGGCGTCGCCGCCCGATTTGTCCTTGACACCATCAGCAAGAATCGCGCGAAGAGGGTTGTCCTCGGGCCAGTCGTGACCGTCGCCTTTCGCCGGTCCGCCCTTGTCGAGGTTCAGGTCGATGTACTCGGTCAGCTCGTCGGGCAGGATCTCGGCGAGTTGATGATCCTTCTGAAGTGCAAACAAGGTACGCGACAGCGTCCAGGGATGCAGCTCGGCGAACGGGTCGGCCGGGTTGTGGACAAAGGAGATGCGGACTTGAGTTGTCTTCTCGGCGAGTTTGAGAGCGGCGACGGCGAGGTCGGCGCCGGCTGGGTCGTTCAGGTCCGTAATCACGTAGATGGTCGCGACGGCAGGCGGGTCCTCGATGTCGAGACCGGTCGTCTCGTTCGTCAAGCCGGAAGCTGCAGGACTAGTCGTTCAGCCTTGATTGCCGGCACGACGGGAATCGCAACGCACTGCCTTCGATGTAGAAGCTGTGCAGCCATCCTCGGTGGACGCCGTCAAGGGCTTCGACGAGATTGACAATCTTGAGCGGGTTCGTCTCGGGCGAGGGGGAGATGTAAGGGTTGCGGCGTTTGTACGTCGTCGGCAGGTCGGCGAAGAACGACGACGCGTCCATGTCGTCGGTGAGCGAGCGCAGGTAGACTTCTTGCGCGAGGTACTGGGTGTGCAGGCCGAGCGTGCGCTGCAGATTTTGCGTAAAGTCCTGTAGTCGAAGCGAGAGTGAGCATTGAATGCAGGTCGGCGGAAAAGATCCGAGACGAGCTCACGTCGTCAATCGGGAAGTACGCTCCGTTCATGAAGAAAGCGCCCAGCGACTTCTTGGTCTCGGCGGCCGCGGCGAGAGGGACACCGAGTCGCTTGAGGTATTCGCGGGTCTTGGTCAAGCGCGAGTGCGATCCGCCGGCTCGCCTGCCGATGCCGTAGTGTCGGAGCTCACTGAAGCGAGCGAGAGGACCTCCGTCGACATGCGAAGCTGTTGCGGCAAGCTGGAGGTAGGCGCGCTTGAGCAGGTCTTCGGAAATGGTCGACTCGGGAGACGCCTTCAGCAGCGTCGCGAGGAACTGCATAGTCGGCGCGCGGCCAAGAGCGTCCGTGAGGTACCAGATGACCTGGGCCATCAACGTCTGTAGCGAGTTGTCTTCGCTCGATGCACCGACGACCGGGACGACGCCGAAGCGGACGGGGATGCCACGACCGACGAACTGCTTGATGTGCTCGACGACGAGCGAAAGCGCTCCTGGCCGCGTGAGGTCGAGGACGAAGACAACGTTGTTGAGGTTGCGAGCGACAAGGTTCATCGAGCCGGGGTAGACGGGCCGGAGGAGCTGTGTGCCTCCGAAAGTCAGCCATGATACGCCGAGCGATAAACCAGCCTGCTCACCTCTCGCACCGACTTGGACCAGCTCTTGTACCGCCTGTCCTTCTCAAGGTCGTTCCACCAGAGGATGACCTGCCCTCCCTCGTCGCGGTCCGTCGAGTCGTACAACTCGCCCAACGCATCGACGCCAATCCGGTCCCGCGACGACGAGGGGCTTCGAGGACTGCCACCGATGAGGATATCGCGCGCCTCCTTGCCGGTCATGTGGATGCTGAGGCTGAGAAGGTCGACGATGTGTTTACGCTCTTTGCGCATGAGGCGGAGGAAAGCAAATGGGTCGACTTCAGCTTCGGTAAGCGGAACGCCGTTCAAGAAGAAGGAAGAACGAGTCGTAAGGACCGAGGACATCTGGTTTGTCGAGACTTCGGAGATGAGGTGCGGGTCGGGATCGGGAACGAGTGTGGGCAGGTGCGATGCCAGGCGGGGGAAGGCCGATGTCAAGTCGACGAATGCCTTGAACGGCTGGTCGGACGCGAGGATGAATTGGGCTGTCCGGATCGCGAGTTCTGCGAGGAAAGCAAGGTGAGTAGGCGTCTCAGGCTGCACGAAAGAGGCAAAGTACGCACCTGCCACGTCTCCCTTCTTTACCGGCTCCATCTTCGGCGGCAGATCCCCCTCAATCTCAAGCACCGGTTCCTTCGACACTTCCCCATCCGCATCCTTTCCTCCCGCCGTCGACTGACCGGTCACTCGGTCGTCAATGGCGAGATAATCGCTCTTCTTGATGTCGAGCGCTGCGCCGTAGCCACTCATGACGAGCTTCTTCTGCGCGCGATGCGCCGCAGAGGACGGCTTCCAGCGCACGACGAACTGGAGTCGAGGCGGGTGAGGGGCGGCATGGGCGGCAGGTGGGGATTGTGAGGTCAGACTCTTCGGGTTGGAAACAGGGATCGCTTTCGGAGCCGAGAGCGAGTGGAGGAAGGTGAAGAGTCGCTGGAAGGAGGGAGAGGTCGGGTTCGCCCAGAAGACGAAGCGAGGGAGGTGCGATTCGTCGCCGTGCGGCGAGACGTGGTCGAACGAGTACCGCTGTGGGCGAGTCGAATTGGTGCTACCCGTCGCGAACGAGTCAGTGGCGCGAGAGCCGATGAGAGACTAGGGATAAGGGGGCGCACCTGGAGGGAAGCTTTATAGGCTTCTTCCCGCCCTTCTCCTCGTTTCCAACGATCTCCCAAAACTCTTCCTCACTACACGCTCGTGCGCCTGCAACGTCGATCCAGCTCTCGCACGCCTCTTCACCCTGCGAGTCTGACCCTTCCCGCACCGGAACGACCGCTTCCCGCTCCTCCCACAAGCCCCGCATGCCCTCGATAATCACACTCGCTTCTCGATTCGCCAATGACGTCTGCAGGCTTTCCCGCAGTCCCTTCGACCGGAACAGCAAAGACCTTCCCGCAGCCGCATCGAGGAGAGCGTACGTCTCGTTCAGCTGAAGCGTTCCCTCGGGCGCAAAGATCGGGTTCACGCCCTGCTTGGCAAGGTTGTTGGCCGCGCGCAGAGACGGCGGGAGGAGAGTGCCGGCGCGAAGGAAATGGTGCGAGTGGGGGTTGGACGAGAGAAAGGAGAGGAAGTGGAAGAACTCGTTCGGCGCCTCGAGGGCGATGGTCTCCCTGGAGGGTGTCCGTCAGCTGGTCCCACTGATCGCGAGTCTTTTGGGCTCACAGGAACTGCGTGACGAGATCAGGAGCCGGCCATGCTTCGACGCGAGCAGCGACGGGAGGGGAGCGGTGCGCGGCGGCTGAAGCGGCGAGCCCGGCCAGCAGTAGGCTCTGCAGCCCCGATAGCCACATCCGAACGCCCTACAACGGCGGATCAAGCGAGGGCAGGTGAGACGGACAAGGCCAACCTCGAGCGGGACAAGGTTGCATCACGACCGCTCACTCGCTCGTGCTGGATCGCGTGCTGAGGCTCACTGGAGCTATTGTGAGGCTTTTGAAGTCTGGCAGTCGCCAGCGAGCTCACCGGCGCTTCTTCCCATCCCGTCCTTCCCTCTCCCCACCTTCATCAGTTTTCGACTTTGACAGAGCGACAACACCCTCGCACGGCGCATCAGAGCCACGGACGCTCATTTGAATCAAACGCAGAGCGGGAGGCACGTCGGGAGGGCTCGGCGAGCTGTCTACCAGATGGACGTGGCAGGAAGGGGTGTGTCATGGCAGAACCACGACCGCACGGAAGAGATTCACGGGGATGCAATGAGAGACGTGTAGAGACGGGACAGAAGACCAGGCTTTGCGGGTACTTGCGTCTGCGGGAGATCAAGCGCGTCAGAACCTTTCGCTCAGGTCGACCTGCTCGAACCCAGAGACCGCTCGCCTTCACACCTTCTGAGCTACCAGACGGACTGCGCCGTCTCCCAGGTCCTCAATCTGTACCCACTTGACTTCGCTGTCCTCCAACTGCTCCCTGTACGTCTTGGACGCGCTGACGGGACCCGGCCAGTATTTCGCCAGGGAGGCCTTCTCGACGCCGCTGACTGTCGAGTCCCAATGCGCCGCCACCGCATCGACGACCTGCCTGACGGTGACGCCTCGGGCGTCCTCGATGGCCCGCAACTCAACGCCGTCGATCTCGATGATGAGCTTGTCGCAGGCGGGTCGAGTTGCTGGAGAATCTGCTAAACTTGATTCCCGAATGTTGATCCGCTCATCGCCCGAGATGGTACTCAACCACGAGTCAGCTCGGGCGAAATCGATCGAATGCAGCGTTGCTTGGCGCAGGAGCCGGTGAAGCTGGATGTCGGATGCGGGCCGTTGCTGCTCCGTCGCCGACTTGCTCCTCTCGAAGCCTACTGGGCGAGACCTGCACCGCTTGCGCTTGGCGACGGGACTTTCGGTAACCGGAGCAGATGTTGATGCTGTCGCCTCAACTTCGAGCGTTCCAAGGTTCCTCCTTTCACTCGGCTCGGTGACGCTCGACTTTGGGTCGAGGCATTTGGCCCCGTATACCGCTGCTGGCTCCAAAGGTGCTGGGTTGGCGGCCGTAGGATCAGAGGCGGGTTTTGCCTCGACGGTGTCGGCTACGTCAAGTTTCGAGGCGCGTTTCTTCCGTCGAGCGTCCACTATGAATTGTCCGACGTCGTGATGCGTCGCCATGTGGGTCGTAGCTGGAGATGCCTGTTCGAGGTGTGCCGGATGGTTGGCCCTCGCGCTCGAAAGCGGGTCCTCCTCCTTGCCCGAATGCTCCTCTGCCTTGCCCCCGTTCACGACGCTGATTGAGATGGTCTTGCCATCTGCAGACCGCGTGACCGTCACGACCGCGCCGTGAGGGACATTGAGGCGTTGGACGGTGGCAGCAGCGTGGGCGAGGCGGGAAGAGGATGCGTGCGTAGGAAAGAGTGTCGAGGGTTTCGCTGCGCGCGCGGCGAGACGAGCATGGATAGCAGGACGCAGCAGCATCTCTCAGAGCTGAGTAAGGCGAGAGGGGTTGAGGCTGAGGACGAGGCTGAAGCTTCAAGGTGTCCCAGCTTCGTCAGGATCCGCTCAGGCCTTCGACAACTTTTGCGGCCGGTCCGCTCGCATGACGAAGCGCTGAAACCTGGCTGAGACGTGAGGCGGTAATCAGAGCGCGGGCATGTGGTTGCTACTGTCAACAGGCGGTAGAAGCGAAAGCTTCCAGCTAGGAAGGTCAAGCAGTCGTCCTCCCGGTCCTCGTAGTGTCAGCGCCAAACCCAGCGTTAGGTAGACACGGCATGCAAATGCAATGGAGCGTACACAACATTGAGACGACTCGGGAACAGAAAGGGAGGGAGTTCAAACCGAATATGCGAGAGCATCGTATCCGACGAAGAGAGCGTCGCGCTCAACCTGAGGCGCGGTGGCGCTTAACGGCGCCGCTCACGCCGTCAACTTCGAGCTCGCCGAGAGGAGGACGGGAGTGGTCGGTGGGGTAGGAGTGAGCGGATGTAGAATGATTGGCGGGAGGCGAGCCGTGGGAGCTGGCCGAGCGAAACATGGTCAGCGAGCTGTCAGTCTTGCGAGATGCTGATGCGCATCGGTCATCGATAGTAGAGGCTGTGATGACGCCGCACTCACCCAGCCTCGCCCAGTGCCCTCTTCACACCCCTCGCGCTCACGAACCCTCCGGCCAACCCCTCTCCTCCGGCCATGACACCGACAGCAGGCCTTGGCGGACTTGCGCTGACCATCCCGCTGACGCCAGGAGCTCCGCCGGCCGCCTTGACTATGCCAGCGCCGACGTTGAGCTGCGGAAGCGAGCCGGCAACGCGAAGTGTCGGAGCAGAGGTACCGTTGACGGCGGGAGGGTGAGCAGGCGCAGCGGCGGTAGTTGAGCGCTGCAGCGAATTGTTGCGCGAGGGCACTTGAGGGGGGCGAAGCGACGGCGGACGAGCGGTGCCGAGAGCGGGAACTGGCGCTCCTCCCGCAGGCGTGGCTCCAACCGTCGCGCTCCTTCCAGTCGCTCCTCCCGCTTTCAACATCTGCGCGGCCGACGACCCTGTGCCCGGCGCAATGCCGTTCGCCTGCCCCTGCGCCTCAGCCAGCTTCTTCCGGTTCTTCTCCTCAAGCCTCTGCAGCGCCGCGAGCCGCTTGTCTTCGAGATGAGCGGATCGAGCCGCGTCTTGAGGCGCGGGAGGAGGCGGGTTGAGCTGTTGTTGAGGGGACGAGCTGTTGCGCGGTTGCTGCTGAGGAGCCTGGTGACCGGGTGCGGCAGGGTAAGGGCGGTGGTTCTCGTCCTTGACATATGTCGAGGCGAAGCTGTGTCATCGCCAGAAGCCGGGGAGCGTGAGTGATCGAGCAGCGTGGCTGCACGCTCCATATCCGCTTCGCAAGTCCACCAACTCACCTCGCATCTGCCAAGCCCTCCATCTCGCCATACCCGCTATCGCCCTCATGATACACCCTCCCCGTCCCTCCTCCGATCATGCTCGCATCCGCACCCGTCCCATCAGGCAAAGGCATCTCAGCATACATCTTCTCGTCCTCCGAGCTGAACGCGAAGTCGGTCGAAGTCTGCGCGCCTGTCCTGTCGCGCGGATCGGGCGCGGGAGTCGCGATGGTCGCCGAGCGGTGAGGAGGTGGCTTGTGCTGAGCAGCGGCGTGCGAAGCGGGAGTTTGCGGCGCGTGCGAGGCGACGGTCGAAGCGCGCTGAACTTGCTGCGCGAGATGCGGAGGGTGAGCGGGAGGTTGCGGCATGTCTTTGCGAGGTGGTAGAGGGGGTTGGGCGGGAAGGGCGGGAGGAGGCATGGCTGAAGCGGGAACCGCGGAAGTGAAGGCGCGCGGTGGAAAGTGCTGGTAGTTGTCGCGCTCAGGCTTGTAGATACTGTCGAAGTCGAACTTGGCCTGGTCAAGGAAGGGCGAATGTCAGCGCGAGTCCTAGAGCAGACCGAGGCCGCTGCAGCGGATGTTCAAGTTCTCTGCGAAGACCAGCAGCTCGTTCCGGAGCTCACCTTGGGCGCCTTCATGTTCGCCATCGTCTGCAGGTACGACTTGTCGTAGAGACAGTTCCCCAGAAGCTTGCCGAAATGTCGCAGGGCGCGCTTGAGGGCGTCGGTGACCGCTTCCTTCTTGCACTGCGTCCAGCAAACAATCAGCTCAGCCCGGTCCGCGAGCTCCGTTCACTGGCGAACAACAACATTAAGCGCGCGCAACGCACCTTGTCGAGCCCGTCCGCCTTGGACTTGGCGTTCTCGAGCTTGCCGTACCCGACGTCCTCGTGGCTCGCGCCGTCCTGCAGCCTGACGCGGACGATCGCCGTCACTCCCATGTTGTAGCGAGCCGTCTCGGGGTTGTAGTCAATCTGCGAGCGAGCGAAGCGGGAGTAGGTGACCCCCGAGTGAGCGCGAGACGAGGACGAGAAGCGAGACTGGAACGCACAAAGTCCGCCTCGAGGTACTTGATGTCGGTGAACCAGCCGTTGTAGCCAAAGACTTCGTTGGCGATGTTGATGGCCCTCCAGCCCTCGAGGTAGCTCAGCTTCGTTCCTCCGCCTCCCGGCCTGTTGGTGATATGTTCCGGCCCCAGCGACTTGTTGAGCATGGCCTGCATCTTGGCGTGCCGCTCCTGCGCCTCATCGGACATGCCGGTGAGACTGTTGGGCGTGAAGACGGCTGCCGAGGGTGGAATGGAGTCGGAGGGGGCGAAGGTGCGGGTCGGGTAGGCGGGCGCGGCGTGGGTCGGCTCGCGGTACATCGTTCGCGCATGCGGCGACTGCCAGGGTCCTGGCGGGTCCTCGCCGAGCCAGTTGGCCATGCCTTGCGCCGTTGACGAGTCTCAAGCCAGCGAGAGAGATGAAGCGAGTGAGGTGGGTCGGTGGAAGGGTGTACGTGACAAGACCGGTTCGCGCGCGTGTGTATCGGTACCGACAGAATCTCAGAGCGTATCCAGCACCAGTCAGAGCCCGCCTGAGCGGTGAGAGCGAGTGGACGAGGCGAAAAACAACCAGAGGACGCGTCGCTCCTCGTCTGGCGTTGACATCTCGCTCGACTCGCTGGAAAGAGCTCGCTGGGGCTGCTACGCTATGCGCAGGTCGTTCATCGCTGCGATCAAGCAGGACGCACAGGCTGAACCTGCCGCTGAGACGCCTCACCACTCGGGCGCTGGCTTTGGCGTCCCTCAACTCAAGCGTGTGTCCGCCACTCACTTGCATGCCCGCGAGCTGACCTTGAGTGCACTCGCAACAGCCTTCAAGGTCCCGACATCGACCAGCGCCACCCGCTCGCGGCAGCTAGGCGGCACTCGCTCGTCCACCAAGCGGCCCAGGGTCGTCTTCACCGAGAACGATTTCTACACGAATGTCGGGTCGGGCATAGACGCAGACGACGACAGAGGCGGGAAGAAGGCGAAGAAGGCGGCGGGGAAGAAGAAGAAGGGCGACGACGACTCGGACGACGACGGCGCGAAGAAGAAGCGAGGCTTTGGGTTCGTCGACAAGTATGTCCCGCCCCCTCCGCCGAAACAGTTCCCGGTCTACCGTCCCAAAGCTGCCGACTCGACCATGACCAAGGCGTTCACCTTGCCCGGCATCAAGAAGGGCGGCGCCATCCTCGACACCAAACTCTCCCTCAAACCGCTCGGCACGCGCCAGGCCGGAGAGTTCATCCCCGCCCCGCTCTACGACCCGCTTGACGACCATTCCATCGTCTTGTGGGACCCGACAGTCGATGACCGCGAAGCTGAGCGCGAGATGGAGCGTCTCCGGAAGGAGAAGGAGGAAAAGGAGCGCGCAGAGGAGGACGGCAAGACCGCTCTCGAGAAGGAGCGCAAAAAGGTGCACAAGAGCCTCGCCGAGATACTCGGCATCGCGGACCGCAAAGCGCGCGCGCATCTGGTCAAAAAGGTCGCGGTCGTGATCGACCCGCGTCTCGGCAGCAAGTTGAGGCCGCATCAGGTGGAGGGTGTCAAGTTCTTGTACAAATGCACGACCGGCATGACGGACGAGAACGCCTACGGCTGCATCATGGCTGACGAGATGGGTCTCGGCAAGACGGTGCGTCTCGCCATCTCAGGTCTCCTCGTCTCTCGCTGACAGTTCGCGCCTCGTAGCTTCAATGCATCACCCTCATGTGGACCCTCCTCCGCCAGTCGCCTATCCCGAACAAGCCTGCCATCGACAAGGCCATTGTCGTCTGTCCTTCGTCGCTAGTCAAGAACTGGGCGAACGAGTTGATCAAGTGGCTCGGTCCGGGGACGGTCAACCCGCTTGCTGTCGATGGGAAGGTCACGGGTGCCGAGCTGATCAAGGAGGTTAGGCAGTGGGCTGCGTCGAAGGGGAAGCAGGTGGTCAAGCCGAGTGCGTTCGCTGTTCCTCGCTTTCTTTCCGCTTTCGCTTATGCCTCTCCCGCACAGTCTTGATCGTTTCGTACGAGTCGCTGCGCGAGAAGATCGTCGACGAGCTGAACGGTACCGAAGTTGGCCTCATCCTCGCCGACGAGGGCCACCGTCTCAAGAACCCGAGTGCGTCTTCCGAGACCGATCTGACGTCGGAAGTTCTGCTGACTGCGTGTAATTCCATTCGTAGACAGCGCAACGTACAGCTCGATCATGCAGATCAACTGCAAGAGGCGCGTTATCCTCACCGGCACGCCCATCCAGGTGCGTTCGTCTCGCACAATCTTTCGCACTTCCTCCACTGACCTGCCGCGCAGAACGACCTCGTCGAATACTTCGCCTTGATCAACTTCTGCAACCCCGGTTACCTCGGCACCGCGACCGAGTTCCACAAGCAGTACGAGCTGGCGATCATCAAGGGCCGCGATGGGGACGCAACCGACAAGCAGAAGGAGAAGGGTGACGAGGCGATGAAGGCGCTCAGCGAGAAGGTCAGCCGGTTCATCATTCGTCGGACCAATGACCTGCTCAGCAAGTACCGTACGTCTCGAGTCTCTCTGCCTCTCCTCGCCCGTTACAACTCGCTTACGCACCTCTCGCAGTCCCCGTCAAGTACGAACACGTCGTCTTCTGCGCGCTCTCGCCCTTCCAGCTCGCCCTCTACCGCTTCTTCATGAACTCGCCCGAAATGAAGGCCCTCCTGCGCGGCAAGGACTCGCAGCCGCTCAAGGCGATCGGCATCCTCCGCAAGCTGTGCAACCACCCCGACATCGTTGACTTTGCGAAGGATATGCCAGGCGCCGAGACGTGCTTCCCGGACGGCTATGACCGGAACGACAGGAGGAGGAAGATTGACCCGACGCTCAGTGGCAAGATGGCGGTTGTTGACCGGTGAGTCGGCTTCGCTCTCGGCTCAATTCGCTGTAGCTTGCGTGCACCGACCGGAGGATGCAGCGTGGGTAGCCCCAAAGGCGAGACTGACTCGCTCTTCGCGCAGCTTCATCACCAAAATGCGCGCCGAGACAAACGACAAGATCGTCCTCGTCAGCAACTTCACCACGACGCTTGACATGCTCGAGGAGCTCTGCCGCATCAGGCGGTGCGTGGCCTTCTCTCCCTCTCCGTTTCCTCGCTAACTCGCTTCTGCTCACAGCTGGGGCTCCCTCAAGCTCGACGGCACGATGGACGTCCGCAAGCGCCAGAAATTGGTCGACCAGTTCAACAACCCCGACTCGGACAAGGTCGTCTTCCTCCTCTCGTCGAAGGCAGGAGGTTGCGGCATCAACTTGATCGGCGCCAACAGGCTGATCCTGTATGACCCTGGTGCGTTGCGAGCTGAAGACCTCGGCTTGTCATGCTGTCCGGGACGGCTAGCTGATGGCGTGAGCCTTTGCCGTGCAGACTGGAACCCCGCCAGCGACATGCAGGCTCTCGCGCGTGTCTGGCGTGACGGTCAGAAGAAGGATTGTACGTCGCTTCTCTCGTCTTCCTAGTGAAGAGACTGACAGCGGTACCGGCAGGTTTCGTCTACCGCTTTGTCGCGACCGGAACGGTCGAGGAGAAGAGTACGTCGGCGCATCTTGTTATTCGGTGCAGACCAGCCCCGGTCGAGACTAACTCCTCCTTGGTGCCGCTGTCACAGTCTTCCAGCGCCAGTCGCACAAGCAGAACCTCTCGTCCGTCGTCGTCGACTCGAACAAGGACGTTGAGCGTCACTACACGGGCGAGAATCTGCGCCAGCTTTTCCTCCTCAAGGACTCTGCTTGCGAGGTGCGTGCAGCATTTCAGACCTTCAGCGTCTCTCTCACGCCTGGAGAGAGAGCTGATTAAGGATATGGGCGACCTGCACATAGACGCACGACTTGTTCAAGTGCAAGCGGTGCAAGAATGGCCGCCAGTTCATCAAGTCTCCCGCCATGCTCTACGGCGACACGTCGACGTGCGTCTCCTCTCTCTGCTTCTTCTCATAAGCCAAGCTGACGAGCGGGTGATCGGCGCAGCTGGAACCACTTGACGAACGACTGCCTTCGCAACATACACGACTCGCTCCTTCGCGCCGAGACTGGTCTCGACAGCGTCACTGCCTGCTTCCAGTGTGCGTGGCGCTCTCCTTCCTTGCTGCCGAACCCACTTACGCTTTCCCCGTGCGCGTACAGACATCTCTACCTGAACCCTCTCTTCGCATCCTTCTCGCATGTTCCGTTCACTCGCTTGACGTCTCGCTCACTGTTTTGCCCGTGTTGCACGCTTGTTGTCGTTCAAATCGCATTGCCTCGTTCGCATCCTCTCGCATGTTTGGTCCGGTCGAGGCGAAGCAGCCGTTTGAGCGAGATGGAGCGCCTCCTTCGTGGTCGGCTTTGGCTTGACAAGTCTCTGAGTCTCACAGCCTTACGCTGCCGCTGCGAAGGAGCCCTACGACGCCGTGTAGAGCGGGTCCGAGCCTGTCGGCGACTTGGGAGCGAGCGGACTTCCCGACTTGGCTTCCTTCGCTCAACAACGCTTGACACGGACCGGACGCTTGCTTGGACCAGCTGAGCGGCCAGTCTACGCCTCAGCAATCGTGCACACACACCTCCAACGCGCACACCTCCCGACGTCAGCCAACTTCACCGCCCCGCTCTCTCCTCGCACGACTCGCCCGCGCAGACGGCTGGCGTGCACTGTGACAGGCTAGAGGCGACTACACATACCGCCCCAACACGCTGAACGATTCGCCAGCGGTCGCGACGGGCGCGGGCAGACCCCTGCGCCCACCCTCGCCTCCTCTCCCGCCTCTATCGCCCGCGTCAGACTCGTCGACCGCGTCGTCGTCGTCTGCGCCGCACACCGCACGCTTCACTGCGACACCGGAGGACTTCGAGCGCGAGGTCAACCCGCTGTTTGCGCTCGGCGAGAGGGTCCGGTCGGGCAGCGTCGACCCGGCGCGGATAGTCGTGCAGAAGAACGGGGTCGTTCTGCGCGAGGGCAAGCCGCCGGCGGGCTGGTTGGAGAGTGCGGACGGGCAGAAGGCGGGGATGCCGGGCCCAGCGGTACAGGGACGTGAGAAGTGGATCGAGCGGCTGCACTTGCACGGTCACGGCGGGAGGAACGGGCACGAGGCTGAAGCTGTGAAGCACAAGGGCGGCGACAAGCTGGAAGTGCCGGACGGGACGAGCGGGCAGCAGGCGGAAGACGGCGACGAAGGACTGGCCAAGGAGGTCGAGGGTTTCAAGGACCAGCCTTACCAGCAGGACCACACAGATCAGGCGCGGATGAAGCTGCGAGACTGGAAGGAGGACATGCAGGACAAGATGGGGGAGCGAGGCTGGCGGACGCCGACGCACGAGCGGGACGAGCAGGCTCTCTTGGTCGACCCGCGAGTAGCGAACCAGCTCGAGCGGAAACCTGACGAGGTGCGGGACGGTGCGGATGGTCGAACTCTCAGCCTGGCGCCGTCTTCGACCCGGCTGAACGGGTCAAGCAGCTTCTATTCGGCGGCGAGCGAAGTTGGCGGAGCCGCCTCAATCGACTCTCGCACCGTTCCTCCTCGCTCCGCCTCTCCCGAATCGCTCTCCTCCGTCTCCGACATTCTTGCGACTCCTCAACTCGCGCCATCTCAGCTCGACGCCGAGCCTTCGACATCCGGAGGTGCCGACGCCTTTGACCGATTGCCCGTCGCCTACGCCCCCGGCTTCGTCGTCACCAACTCCCGCCTCGTCCCTCTCGGCGACGGACGCCCTCCTCCTTCCGAAGCCTCCTCTTCCTCGCCGACTCGCTCTGCTCATTCCGCCGTTCCGGTGCACGAGGTCGTCCGGCCGACTTCGTCTCATCCCGACTTGCAGCAGGGACCGATAAGCCCTCCTGCCTCACCTCGGTCAAAAAGCCGTCTGGCTCCCTCTTCCTCTCCTCGACAACCGCGCAATTCCTCTCTGCATCCGCCTCCCGCCGCAAATCAAGGCTACTTTCAGCTATCTCCCCAGCAGTCGACTCGCCCCTCCTCTCCACGACGAAGCCTGACGACCGACCTACCCTCTCTCCTCCCTTCTCCACCTCTCGGCGTTGGCCCCGCCAGCGCTACCTCCCTTGCCGTCAGCTCCCGTCGCCTCTCCTCCGCCTCCGGCCATCTCGCCCCTCTCCAACTCGCACAACGGTCACAGACCTACTCTCCCTCTCTTGCAGCCCCGGCTTCGCTTGGTCAGCACCAGTACGCTTACCCGCAAGCTTCGACGTCGGCCGCTCCATACGGCAGCGGTAACCCCGCTTCTCCGCCCACGGCGGGATACATGGACGACGTCGAGTCCTCCATCGCCGCTCAAGCCGAAGTGATCCGTCGAAAACGGCAGGAGAAGCGCCTCGAGGCGGAAAAGGCTGAGCGGGATCGCGAGCGGGAAAAGGCTGGTCTCGCTCCGCCTGTACCTGCGGTCTCCGAAGCCGGGCGAGGAGACAAGGGCGAAAAGACCGTGGGCGGATTGCTGGGCGTCGCAACGCCGGGTGGGATGCTCAAGCGCCGGTCGACACGGATGGGGTCTGGCTCGTCCGCGCAGGAAGCACCGAGGAGTCCTGGACCAGGCAGGCGAGCGCGACAAGCTTCCGAAGGAGCAGAGCGAGGACAGGACGGCACGGCTGATGCGGGCGCGTCGGCGGCGGAACATGCGGCTGCTGCGAGCGGGTCTGCGGCGAAGGCGCGAGCGGCGGGAACGGGAGGCGAGGACGAGCTTGGAGCGGGCGTTCTGGTCGGCAATCTGATCGGCCAGGATCACGCCAACTATGTCTTGATGTATAACATGCTCACGGGGATCCGCATCGGCGTGCGTAGTCTTCTCTGCACGGATACAACGGAGCGATGCTCACCTCTCCGTTCTTTCGCAGGTCTCGCGGTGTCAGGCGAAGGCGCGACGACCGCTCACGGATGCCGACTACACGGCTCGTCACAAGTTCAGCTTCGATATGTGCGCGGTCCTTGCCCTTCTGGCTCTGCTGCCCTCGCTAATCTAGCCTTCGCAGCGTCGGCAATGAGCTCACGCCCTCGGTCAAGTACGACTTCAAGTTCAAGGACTACGCGCCTTGGGTGTTCCGCGAGCTGCGCGAGTACTTCTACCTCGACCCGTCCGACTACCTCGTCTCGCTCACGGCCAAGTACATCCTCTCGGAACTCGGCTCGCCCGGCAAGAGCGGCTCGTTCTTCTACTTCTCGCGCGACTACCGGTTCATCATCAAGACGATCCACCACACGGAGCACAAGTTCCTCCGACGGATCCTCAAGGAGTACCACGAGCATGTCAAGAAGAACCCGCATACGCTCCTCTCGCGCTTCTACGGCCTGCATCGCGTCAAGCTTCCGCATGGCAAGAAGATTCACTTCGTCATCATGAACAACCTCTTCCCTCCTCATCGAGACATCCACGAGACGTACGACCTCAAGGTGCATTCTCCCGCCTTGTCTCTCCGTTTGACGGATTGCTGATCGGTCCTCACGCAGGGCTCGTCGATCGGGCGCCTCTACCCCGAAGAGAAGGCCAAGCAGAACCCTCACGCCGTCCTCAAGGACCTCAACTGGGTCCAGCGACAAAGGCAGATTGCGCTCGGCCCGGAGAAGAAGGCGCTCTTCGAGGAGCAGCTGCGGCGCGATACGGAACTCCTGCAGCGGCTCGGCATCATGGACTACTCGCTCTTGACCGGCATCCACAACGGTGTGCGTGGGAACAGCGACAACTTGCGCGAGGAGAAGCTCAGTGTCTTCCAGGTGCGTTTGCTCGGCATCCAGCGCCACTCACAAGCTGACGCAGGCCGTCGTCGCAGCCCGAGAACGTCAAGGTCTCGCGCAAACCGACCCAGGTCAAGCGCGACGCCGATGCCTCCGCCCTGCGCAAAGCCGTCCAGCGCTCCGACCCGCGCGCTCTCGGCGGCAAGCACGAGCTGCCTGAGCACGAGAATTCGGAGAAGCGCATGTTCTTGTTCTACCAGGACGAGGGCGGAATGCGGGCTACGGGAGATAACAACGAGGATCTCGGGGTGATCTATTACCTCGTGCGTTCTTTCTCTGTTTTCTAAACCTGGTGAATTGCTAACGAAGTCGCTCGCAGGGCATCATCGACATTCTCACACCGTACAACTGCGTCAAGCGGATCGAGCACTTCTGGAAGGGTCTCAAGCACAACAAGGTGCGTCCACCTGGCCAGCTGCCTCTCTCAGGCTCAGCTCATCTGTCGCTCGCGACAGCACATGATCTCTGCCGTCCCGCCGCGCGAGTACGGCGACCGCTTCCTCGCGTTTATCAAGTCTTCGATCCGCGGCAACGACATCTCGATCCGGCCGCAGATGTTCGAGCACGAGCCGAAGCACGACGCGAAGCAGGAAAAGCCGCCCGTCAACGTCTCTAGTGACGACGAGAAGGCTCAGCGCCAGCGGAACGACGGCCGCGTCGAGATGAGCGAAAAGTCGGCCGTCGCGCAGGGCAAGGTCAAGGCCCAATGACCACCGCCTCTCCACAGACACTCTCTTCCCCTTTCTGTCCTTGTCTTGCATACCGCTTCACCAGACACTCTGCCACACTCGCTCCCTCGTCCTGTATTCCGTCGTCCCCAACTCGTCGTCGCTCGTTTCGTTGCAGGTTGTTCCGTCGCTGTAGCGTGTTGCAACCTTGGCTGTACTGGTCTAAATCTGGCAACGCATCGTGGATGCAGAACTGCACAAGACGCAGAAAGAGTCAGCAAGCCCAGACAAGCCGGTGCAGAAGTTGCGAGCGCACATCCGGAAGTCCCTCGAGGAAGCGAAGGTGCAGGTCGCCTTTGTAGCTGTCGACGACATGTATTCAGCTTGTAAGAAGCTCCTTCTGAATGATTATGGAGACGCACAGCTCTGTCTGGGTCAGCCTCATCAACCCTCGCTCCTCTCCCTTCGCCGCATCCTCGCTCTCCGCCCACAACCGCTCGAACGTCCGCATGTCGAAGTTCCGCTGTCGCCAGTCGTCATCGCTAGTGAAGGAGAGGTGGTGTGCGCCCGCAGCGGTGCTAGCGAAGTCGGGAGAGAGCGGGTCGCCTGGTAACTGATGAGCGAGGAGGAGGACAGGGTAACCACGCTTGAGGAGCGCGATGCCGGTCGTCAGCCCTATGCAGCCTGCTCCGACAACTGTGCGCGCGCCAGCAGCATCAGCCGTTGAACTCGTGGTCTCATGAGGTCGCAGAAGGGAAGGACTGGACACTCGCCGACGACGGGAGACGGCTGAGCGTGCGACTTGGTCTGCCGGGCTGCCATGCTGTGTTTTTGTGTTCCGACAGAGGCGCAGAAGGAACTTGGGCGGGTGACTTGACTTTGATGCGGACTGCTCGACTTGTCTCGACCTTCGCCGCCGCCGGCAAACCCCGCACGCAAGCTATCTCTCGCTGGCTGAACAGCTTCCTGCTCTGCTGTCTTCCCTCTCCTTGCTCTGCACTGCTACACACGCGAACCTCCCGCCAATGAGCTCTCCCTTCGACTTTGATCTCGTCGTCAAGAACGGCTTTATCGTGACCGCCAGCGACACCGTACGGGCAGACATCGGCGTCAAGGATGGCAAAGTCGTCCTCTTAATGGCGAACATCCCTGTCCCGGATGGCTGCGCGGTTATCGACGCCGAGGGCGGCTTCGTTACGGTGCGCTCCCTCCTCGTCTCCCGATCTTCCTTCTCTAACGCTTGCCTTGATCCTGCAGCCCGGCTTGATAGACTCGCACGTCCACATTGCTCAATCTGCGGCGAAGTCGCTCGGAGCCAAGAGCGCAGACAACTGGACCACCGCCTCGCAATCCGCCGTTGCCGGTTCGTCGAGCTCTCTCGCTGGCCGTACAAACCCAGGCTGACAACTCGTCAAACAGGCGGATGCACGACCGTCATCGCCTTCGCCGTCCAGAACCGCGGCACGTCGATGCAGGCGGCCGTCGACGCCTATCACGACCTTGCGGTGAACAACGCCGTCTGCGACTATTCTTTCCATGTCATCGTCACCGACCCGAGCGAGGAGCAGATGCATATCGAGCTGCCGAAGCTCATCGAGCAGGGCATCACGTCTGTCAAGATCTACTCGACCTATCCGGCTCTCAAGCTGTCGGACGAGGAGATCTTGAACACCTTCTACGCGGCGCGGCAGTACGGCGTGACAGTCAGTGCGTGACCTCGCTCTCCGATCTGATTGACGAATCGCTCACGGTCTTGCGACTGCAGTGGTGCATGCTGAGAACTCCGACATGATCGCTTGGATGACCCGCGACCTCGCCGAGCGAGGTATGACAGAGCCCTGGCACCACGGCACCTCTCGACCGCCCATCATCGAGAGCGAGGCGACGAACCGCGTCCTCGCTCTCTCGGAACTCATGGACTGCCCCGTCCTCTTCGTTCACGTCTCCGCCCCCGACGCTTTCAAGGTCATTCGCGAGGCGCAGACACGGCTCATGAGCGTCTATGCCGAGACGTGCCCTCACTACCTGCTGTTGACGGCGCAGGAGATGAAGGCGCCCGGCTTCGAAGGTGCGTCCTCTCCTTGCGCAATCTTTGCTCCCCGTACTGACTTGTCGCTCACAGGTGCCAAGGCATGCTGCGCTCCGCCTCTGCGCGAGAACCCCGAGGACCGCGAGCGCGTGTGGGAGAACACGGTCAACGGTACCGTGACGGTCGTCTCCTCTGACCACGCGCCGACCAAATACCACGACGAGTTCGGCAAGCAGGTGCACCCGATCCCGCTGCGTGACGGCCTCCCTCGTACTGAAGATCTTGTTGAGCAGCTCGGCCTGACGAAGAATCCCGGCAAGAACCCTCGAGGCGACTTCCGCTACATCCCGAACGGTCTGCCCGGCGTCGAGACTCGCGGACCGCTGATGTGGAGTGAGGGCGTTTGCAAGGGTGCGTTCCTTCGTCAACGCATCCGTCTAGTTCGCTGACGCATTTGCTCGACGCAGGTCGCATGTCGCCGAACAAGTTTGTCGAGCTGAACTGCACGAATGCAGCGAAGCTCTACGGCATGTACCCGCAGAGTGCGTCTCAAATCGCATTCTCTCAGCCTCGAGACGGATGCTGACGGTTTTGCAACAGAGGGAACGATCCAGCCTGGCAGCGACGCAGACTTCGTGATCTGGCGATCACCGTCTGCACGCAAGACAAGCAAGGTCACGGTCAAGAACGTACGTGACGCTCTTACATTGCTGATGAGCTAGCTGCTGACTAGAATCCGCTCGCAGCTCCACTCCGCCTGCGACTACACACCCTTCGAAGGCCACGACATCGAAGACTGGCCAGTCCTGACCATCCTCCGCGGCAAGATCGTCTACGACGGCAAGACGAACGACGTCGTCGCCGAGCCTGGGTACGGCGCGTTTTTGAAGCGCGGAAAGAGCTCGTTGCAGGGTCCGAGGAACAAGTGGCTCAGCGACTGGCGGCCGAGGTACATGGATGACCAGGCGAAGGCTAATGGCGCGTAGATCATCGAGCTGTCACTGTATCGCATCGTTTCCCGAACTGTTCGGTGACCTCGTCAGGCAAGCGGAGTTCGGAGAACAGCAGCTTTTCCTTGAGAACTACGCTCCTCGCAAGTTTCGCAACCGCGACTTGCGGGGGTTTGCGCCGATGTAGAGTATAGTTGAGGGTCGTCGAGTGCATGAGTCCGCAATGCAGCGATCTACAGCTTCGCCTGCACCGTCACCGACGTCTCCTTCTTCCCACGCTTGCGAACCTCCTCGCCAACGATCTTCGCCGCCTCCTCAGCGCATCCCCACATACTCTGCCAGCCGTACCCTCCGTGTCCGTAGTTGTGCACCACCAGCAGCGTTCCCTCGTCGGTTTTGAGCTCCTCCACTTCGAGGCGGACGCCGGCGTCGCGAGTCGGGCGGAACCCAACGACTTCCGCTTCGACGATCGAGCGTACGTCGATCGGCGCAGTCGAAGAAGGCGGCAGAGCGAGCGAGGAACAGATCTCCAACGCGCGGCGAATGATGTCGGTCGTCGTTTCGGGTCGAGGATCAGGGTAGTAGTCATCGACTTCGCGTGTTCCGCCAATGATGACCTCTCCTGACGCGCGAGGAATGACATACGTGCGCTCGCCGCCTTCGCCGCCTGCGAGAGAACCGATCTGGCGCGTCCAGCCGGTCTTAACCCATGGTGCGCGCAGCTTGAGAACTTGGCCTCGAACGGCGCGGACGGTCTGGTCGTTCACGTCGATGAGCTGTGCAAGAAAGGTCCATGACTTTTCAGTAAGAGCTCGAAGCGCTGGGAAGTCTTGGTCGGACGAGAAAGAGGACGCAGTTGAACTGGGACCAGGCTCACAGTACGAGCGCCAATACCGGTGCAGTTGAGTACTGCCAGAGGTGCTTGGACATACTTGCGTACGTCGGATAGTGCAGCAAGTTGAGGGACGCGACGGACAATTCCGCCGAGCAAGGTGAACTCGTTCACGAGGCGTCGCTACGAAGCCACACGATGGGTCAGTCGAGCGTTCTGAGGGGAATTGCCAGGGAGATTTACGAGATAGCGTGCCGGCTCAATCGTCATGGAGGTGAATGAGACAGCATGCTCGATGCTGCAAGGGTAAAAGGAGTATTGAGCATTCTAGCGACGGTAGATGAGACATGCGACACTCACCCGTCAGGCAGCGTCGACGCATCGTGGATGCGGAACTGCGCGAGACGCAGACAGAGTCAGCAAGCGCGATTGAGCCGTTGCAGAAGTTGCGAACGCACATCCGGGAGTCCCTCGAGGAAGCGAAGGTGCAAGTCGCCCTTGTATCTGTAGTCGACGTCGCAGTGAGCCTACGAGCAGGATCTTCTCGTGCTCAATAACGCACAGCTCTGTCTGGGTCAGCCTCATGACCCCTCGCTCCTCTCCCTTCGCCGCATCCTCGCTCTCCGCCCACAACCGCTCGAACGTCCGCATGTCGAAGCTCCGCTGTCGCCAGTCGTCATCGCTAGCGAAAGATAGGTGGTGCGCGCCCGCAGCGGTGCTGGCGAAGTCGGGGGAGAGCGGGTCGCCTGGTAACTGACGAGCGAGGAGGAGGACAGGGTAACCACGCTTGAGGAGCTCGACGCCGGTTGTCAGCCCGATGCAGCCTGCTCCGACGACTGTGCGCGCGCCAGCAGCATCAGCCGTTAAACTCGTGGGTTCGTGAGGTCGCAGAAGGGAAGGACTGGACACTCGCCGACGACGGGAGACGGCTGAGCGTGCGACTTGGTCTGCCGGGCTGCCATGCTGTGTTTGTGTGTCCCTCAGAGGCGCAGAAGGAATGTGTTGGGCGGGTGAGTTGACCTTGTTGCGGACTCCTCGCGCCGCCGCCGGCGGACCCCGCACGCAAGTTATCTCGCACTGGCTGAACAGCTTCCTGCGCTTCCTGCTCTGCTTTTCCTGATCCAAGTCTTCACTCTTCTCTCGCCGCCCCGCTGTCGTTGCCGCCGCCATGGTCCGCCCTCTCCGCGTCGCTGCCGCCCAAGTCGGCCGAATTGACCGCGGTACCCCTCGAGCCGCCGTGATCTCTCGCCTCAACGCTCTCCTCGATCAAGCAGCCGAAAAGGGCGTCAAGCTCGCCGTCTTTCCCGAAACCACTTTCTCGACTTTCTTCCCGCGCTACTGGATCGAAGACGAGGCGGAGATTGCTGCTTACTTCGAGAAGGAGCCGGTCGAAGGCATCGCCTACTGCGACACCGTCAAGGGGTTCTTCGACAAGGCGGCGGCGCTCGGAGTCGACGTCGCTATCGGGTACGGCGAGGAGACGCCCGATGGGACTCGCTACAACACCGCTTCCTACGTTTCCGACCGCAAGACCGTGGGCAAGTACCGCAAGGTGCATCTGCCTGGTGCGTACGCGCCCGCTCCTACGCTCTCTGTTCAGCTTGTAGCGGCACAAGGCTCGCTTCCCCAGAGCTGACCAGCTTTTCCTGCCGCCTACAGGTACTTTCGAGCCGTTCAGCAAGGACCCGTCCGTGACGAATCAGCTTGAGAAGTACTACTTCACTCCAGGCGACTACGGCTTCAAGGCGTTTCGGGCGCCGTCGCTCAAGAAGGCGTGCGGCGGCGAGAAGAGCCCGATTGTCGGGCAGCTCATCTGCAACGACCGGCGATGGGCTGAGGGGTGGAGAGTGTACGGGTTGCAAGGTGTCGAAATCATGTGTATCGGCTACGTGCGTCGATTCTTTCCTCCTCACCTCGCTCGCGCTGGAGGCTGACTTCTTCCATCTCTCCCATTATCTCGCTTCGCCGGCCCCATTGCCATCCTCGTTTCTGTTCCTGGGTGCAGAACACGACCGCATGGGCGCCGCAGCTTTGGGGTATCGACCCGGACTCGATGACTCGCGAGGAGGCTTACGCGGACGCCATGTTCCACCACAAGCTGGTTTGCCAAGCGAATGCCTACACCAACTCGAGTGCGTTTCTTCTCAGTTCATTGTCGCTCCTGCGCGCTCGCTCTTCCCCTCGCCATCGCCACGCACGAGGCTTGGTCCGCCTTGCTGACTCGCTCGTTTCGCACAGCCTTCCTCATTACCTCCGCCCGATGTGGCAACGACGACGGCATCCACCCTCTCATCTCCGGCTCCATGATTGTCGACCCAGAAGGCCACATCGTCGCCGAAAACAAGACGGAGGAAGACGAGCTAGTCGTCGCGGACATTGACCTCGACGCGTGTCAGCAGGGCAAGACGAAGACGTTCGCGTTTGGGAAGCATCGGAGGGTCGAGCATTACGGGCTGATCTGCGAGAGGGTGGGCGTGGTCGAGCCGGAGGAGCCGGAGGCGGCGTAGATAGACGTCGTCTGCAGCATTTCGACGATTTTGCCCTCCTTCTTCCGTTCTAGACTCCGCGCGCTTTGCCCACTCTGTGGCGGCGAGCGGAAGAGCGGCGCGAGCTGGCAGTCGCGCTTGACTTGACTGCTCCCTGCGGCCTTCGCAAGCTTCCGACGTAGTCGCAACTCGACAAAGACACAGCAAAGTCATTGCGCACGTCGTTGCTACTGCTTATCTGTCATCACCATCCCCGCCAGCATGACCAGTCCAGCCTTCGCCGCGTCGATAACCCGTACATCCTGCAACCCCGCCTCCTTGACGCCTTCCAGCACGAGCTGCTCCATTCCCGCCATCCCTGCGCATCCCAAGATGATGCAATCTGCTCCCAGCGCCGCAACCTTCGCCGCCGTCTCCTTCATCAACCGCTCGACCTTCTCCCGCTCGTCCGCTTCCCGCAATTCCTCAATCTTGATGCCCGATGTGACGCCTCCAACCCACTTCTCGCTTCCCGACGCCCCGAGAAAGCTCGAAACGCCCTTCGAGAGCAACGGCTTGGGGCCGAAGCCGGTCGAGAGGACGCCAAACTTGCGCGAGAGGATGAGGGCCTTGGAGATTCCTGCTTCGAACATGCCGATGCAGGGTTTGGGCGATGTTGGGCCGAGGTGTTCGCGGATCATGTGTTGCAGGGCGTGATCGGTGACTGCGAGAAGAGTCGGAGTGAGCCATGAGAAAGCGGAATGCGAGAGTGAGAGCGCGGAGACGGGACGCACAGCAGCAAACGAGGAAGCCATCATAGCGCTCGAAAGCCCCACTCGTTGACAATGCCTCGAAGCAAATTGCGGCCGTCTGGATGCCCGTGACAAAGTCGGAGATACCCGTTGGAGCGTGGGAAGGAGCTGTGAAGAAGTCGAGCTTGAAGCCGGGCGGACACAGCGGACTCAGGGACTCTTCTAGGCCCGTTGTGATACCTTCTGTCGAGTTGGGATTGATCACGAGAAGGCGAGAGGGCATTGCCGAAGCGGGTTGGCTCTGTCGAGGAGGGAGAAGGAGCGGGTCAGCCTCTGGCACTTCACTGCGTCCTCAGGCTGGCCCTGCTGCTGCTTCAGGACCTCGCTAGACGTCTCTGTGATGTCCAAACCCAGCACTCGCCGGTCCCGCCGCCCTCGACTCCGCGCAACACTCTCATCAGTCGGTCGGGGAGGAGGATAGGGACGAGAAGTCACCGTTGTAGGGCGCGATAAGGTCGGCGAATGCGCGCCTTACTTGAGGACAACCGCTCGGCAGCTGTGAGGCCATCGCTGAGTCCGGCGGAGGCTTCCCTTTTCCCACGCCGACGGCGATGCTATCGCGCCGAGAGTCGGCTTCGCAATCCCGCTGCTTCGCTTCATTCCAACACGCTCATTTGCTTCTCGCTCGCACTTGCTTCTCGCTCACACTGCACGCCCCAGCACACCCAGCTCGACATGGCTCCCGTCGCGATCGACTCGTCCGCTCTTCCTCCCGTCGACGCCCTTGCCGACGCTCATCCCCTCAAGGCGGCTAATCGCTTCAAGCAGTCGCTGAACGGTCTTTCCGACAAGCCTCTAGAACGAACCTACCGCGGCAACAAGGAGGGGACGATCCACCTCGAGGGCATCCCGGAGTTTGACGACCTTTATGCGAAGCGTCAGTGGGTCAAGGTGCGTTCTTTCCCCCACTGACCTGTGACGGACGGCACTGACTCTGTCCGCATGCCGCAGGAACACCTTGCGGCGGCGTTCCAGTACTGGGGAAAGCTTGGCTACGGCGAAGGCCTTTCGGGACACATCACGGTCCGCGACCCCGTCTGGCCGGATCATGTACGTCCAGTCTTTGTCCCATCGATCTCCCAACCCAATCTTCGAGCTGACTCGAGTCTTCGCCCCGTTCCACACCCTTTCGCCCTCCTGCTTTCGTCGCTCATTCACCCTCCCCCAGTACTGGATGAACCCAATCGCCGTCCACTTTAGCAGCATCACCGTCTCAAAGCTCTGCCTCGTCACGCCTGAAGGCTACGTCCACCCCGATGGGGCGCAACTTCCCATCAACACCGCCGGCTTCCACATCCGTGCGCTCCTTCCCAGGTCGTGCCACCTGACCCGCCCAACTAACCTTCGCTCGCTCCCCGCAGACTCCGCTATCCACAAAGCCCGACCAGAACTTCAAGCCGCCGCACACTGCCACAGTCTCTACGGCAAGGCATGGTCGGTCTTTGGCAAGCCGATCGACATCCTCACGCAGGACGCGTGCCTGTTCCACGACAACCAGGCCGTGTACAAGAATTTCGGCGGAATCGTACTTGCGCCGGAGGAGGGGAAGAACATTGCTGAGACGCTTGGGCCGAAGGCGAGTCCGCGCCGCCATCTTTGCCTGGGGCGAACCTCGTGCAAAACCCGCTGACTTTGGCTTCCTTCCGCGTGGTAACAGAACAAGGTCGCTATTTTGCAGAACCATGGCTTGCTCACGACGGGCATGACGGTCGGCGAAGCGGTCTACTATTTCAGCGCTCGTGCGTCGCTTTCCTCCTCTCGCCCCGCGTTTGAGACGAGCGGGACCCTCGCTCATCTAGCAGTGCTGACCGAAGATTCCACTATGATACCGCAGTCGACCGTCTCTGCAAGGTCCAGCTGCTCGCCGAGGCAGCCTGTGCCAACGGACTTGAGAAAAAGGTCATCGACGACGAGGTGCGTTCTCTCCGCTCCTCCCCAGCCTCTTAAGAACCCGTAGCTGACTCACGCACCTGGTTCAGGACGCCTCCTTCACCGCCGCGACGCTGCAGAACCCGGAGAACGTCTACGTCAACTGGAAGCCCGAGTACGAGTTGCTCGTCGAGGAGCGAGGGCACATCTGGATGAAGTAAATTCTGGCGCGACTCCTACTGAACGTTCCTGTCGCCCTCGTCTTCTGTAGCGTTGCTGGGTGTCACATCGAGGACTTGTTTCCGTTGCACTTGTGGTCGTCGCAGAGCCGTTCGCCTCGCTCGACCTGCTCATTTGGCTGCGTCCTCGCTTGACGCTGCGAGCAATTCACGCTTGCTATCGTGCTGTCTGCGCTCCTCCTGCTCTCCCTTCGACGCACACGGCCCCCATCTCTATCGGCCGGGTCTCCTCTCGACCCTTATCTCCCTCCTCTCCAGCGTCGCCTGCTGCCAGCTGGAGAGCATCTAAGGCTCTCAGAGATGCTCGGAATACCTGTATCGGATTCACCGCGTCCGCCCGCGTCCACCTCGCCTCACTCTAATCCTCATCAGTTTTCGCCGTCGAGCGGATCTCACCACGCGCAGA